CGTTCTCATACTACATCGGTCCTTGTGTGGCACTTGATTATCACTTATTATTTTGCCTGCCTATCCAACTCTGAGCCCAGTTCAGTCCAGTCTCTACAAGTTACAAAGAGGCTAAAATATGTTAGTTAACGCAGATGAGGAGACTCCTGGGCCTAGTACTAGTCTCCTAAACCCAAGCCAAACTCCCTCCGTTGCTCTCAACATAATATTAATTCTAGATAAGCCTCATGCAGTTGACCTGTTAAGCCTGACTACCTCTAATAAGAGACTTTATAACTTCTTATGCTCCTAGGAATGGACTAATATATAGTGTTCTTGCTTTATTGCTCATGTTAAGATGATGAAAGAAGCCATCTCACACTATTTCTACTCACATAGTTGGAACACTGTTCAAGTGCAGTGTCTCTATGAGTATTGTAAGATGGAATTTCTAGAGTATTTCCCAGCTCCTAGAGGTGATTCTGAGCAATAAGATCTGCAGATGCAGCTGAGACTAGTTAAAGAAATAAATTATTAAAGGGTGATTAGTGAGTGTATATACCCTTTAATAGGCACTATGGACAGGAGGATTGATAAGGAGAGAAGGGCTCAAGTGTAATCTACTTAGGGTGTTATAATCTATATGTCTATCTGTCTTTGCTCAGTGCGCACGTATGTGGTTCTTTTACTGAGTTTGTCAAGCCAGAAATGCAGAGTACTTGAGGCATGATATGCCACTTTATTAATACCTAGGCTTACCACAAAGCTGGATGCTTAACATCACCTTCCGCATCAAATTAGTTCTCGTGTCCTCCTATTCTTATCCAAACCAGTAACCTGTAACCTGTCAATCCTCCCATACCTCTAAGATCCAGTATATTGGTGTCCTAGCGTTCTAATTCGTTGCGTGGGGTTCCCTCGGCGAGAGTTGCCATAAGGTACGGCCTCTCTATCTGCTAAAAGGATCTATCCGGAACCCTCAGGGGACCGCTCCGTTAATTGGATTTCCTGTCTCCGGATAGATCTGGACCCTGAATTCGACAATTAGCCAATAATATGTTGAGAGGACGTGTGACAGAGGGAATGATTTTTGTGCCATCAGATGAGCAGTCGGTCTCCTACTAAGTGCTACCATTCTATAGCACTTAAGGGAATATAAATTCCTTTCTAGGTATAATATACAAGCTATTAATAAATAATTAATCTAATTTCATACAAAATCAAATTTTACTGCTGGCAGAAAACATTGAAAGTCTGACATACTGAAAGTCCTAAAGTGCCCTGAAACGAACGTAGTGAGAGGAAGGGAAAAAGGAAACCCGCCTGCGACAGGCGTACCCACAACAGAGAGGGATTTCTATGTAGAAAGGCTATTTCCACCCGCGTTTCTCCTTTGTCAGTGGCTCATCTCCTTTCATCTCTAGTATACGTTGGCATTTAGTTGCTGCAGTTTCTATGCGGGATTCTCATTCTTCATTGGGGGCTAGTCCACGCTGCAACGACCCCATATACAATAGCCTTTCAACCAGATTCATACAATCACGTATAAGAAATGCCAGAGAGATAAACCATGCATGGAAATAACTTCAAATTCCTGCTGTATTGCTGTGAGTTTTCTGATATATAACATTTTGCTCATCGTTGTCTGACTGCTTTCAACTCACGAGTGCTCGCTTTCTAAGATGAAATTGTCTTGTTTTTGTTCTCTCTATGTGTTCAACCTCTTCTTCTCCTCCATCTCATTTTCACGTTTCACACGCAATATTATCATTTAATTTTGTCATGACTGTGTCCAATGAATAGATGGTCCTTCTTGTCATAGCTACCCTGCTTCTCAAATGGCGTATCCCCAGCCTCTTGCTGAGATGCGTGTATGCTTAGACTGTGGCTTCCTGCTTCGCGCCAACAGCCAGCTTGTTTGCTGTGATTTTGTCAACTAGCTTCCTCATCAATTTTCCTTGAGACCTGAGGATTCTTGGCTGTGGTCATTCTATTCTCGCGAATCGCTATTATACTTGCTGTGGGCTTTGTCGTCAGTCATCACCACTTCGACGTCCATCATCATTGCGTCCCGCCGCAGGTCTAATATGATGTACTATGAATTGAGATGGTTAGAAATACATTCATAAAATACAATTGCCTGAAACGAATGTAGTGAGAGGAAGGAGAACCCTAAACGGGCCTGTGAGAGCATGAGTGCCCTGAAACCAACGTAGTGAGAGGAAGGGTTACCTTCGTGCCCAGGGTACCCTTGAATCCCAAAACTTTACTTTGATGTTGCTGTTAACAAATTCTGCTTCTTTATTTGCCAGGATTCTACTGCCCTTTCTCTCATTCGCTGTTGCTTCTCTCCACGCTCTCTTCTGATCGCTGTTTATAACATTGCTGTCTTAGGCTTGGTGCTGGCGCTTTTTGCTCTCATTCACTGGCCCTTTCCTCTCCTACTCTGCCCTTGTCTGATGCTGCTGTTCCCTGTGCCATCCTTATTTGCTGCTCCTTCTCTCTTGTCGCCTGCATCCTTTCGTTACGCACTTCTAAGAGGTCGTCTTCTGATTGGTTGCGCTCATGTATGCCTTTGTGTCCAAACTAGGACCCTGATTTTGACCATGATAATAACAAGCCTCTGATGACCGGTTCTGTCTCCACAGACGTAAATAGTGAATGCCAGAACCCTGACAAGCGCTTCTTAAATGCCTTGATTAATATTGTGCCCAACCAATCGCCGGCTTCCACAACACAACACATACACCTGCAGGACCGCCAGCATATCCCAACGCTCTCTTACACAATCCGGGGCTAGGCAACACCTATAGACCATTGGAACGGCCCTACTTATTTTACTGCCGCATTCCCTACTCTGTTTCCACATGGTATTGGAGGCCATCTTGACGACTGCCTGTTCACAGTTTCTGTAGCATCCCTTGCTGAGTGGGCTCTGAAGCACCACAGTAGAAGGTACACTCCCTTCAAGAGCGTCAACAGTCAATTCTAATGCTTGTAGATTTGCACGTCACAAAACTTTCATGTACCTTGTTTATGAATATACTGCAAATTCAGAAGTCTTCTTTAGTGAATAAGCTGCTCCTATAGCGCCGCGATTGGCTATCAGCAAATGAGGATTGCCTCTTTTGACAGCGGACCAGGTTCGCAATGCCATACACACTATTAATAGTAGCCATGAAGTAAATGACCCTGCTATTCGCCGCCTTCTGCACATTATGAAAACCATTGCTATGTGGGTCCCTGGATCATTTCGCACAGAAACTCAGAATGCGGTCAGAAATCTGGGGTCTAATTGTGTGTTCTGGGATGCCGGCTTTTTGGATTACTATTAACTCCTCAGATCTGTAAAGCCCTCTTGTTATGATCTTGGTAGGTGTTGAGTACTCTGGGAGATACCTTTGCTGCCTCGAATTCCGCCATCCATGGCGCCTCCGTGGCGCCACCCTCCTCTCAAATCCAGTGGCAGTTGCGGAGTTTTTCCATTAAATTTGCAATACTGTTCTTCATGGTTTACTAGCCGGCAGCCATATGCACATGGGGATCCTTGGTGATCTTTCTAATCACTATGGCGTGGTGGAGACTAATGTCAGAGGCATAATACATTTATATGCAATGGTTTGGCTCAAAGGTAATATTGCTTTCACTAGTCTACAGCACCGGGTTATCGCTGATACAGAGTTTGCCGTTTGTATGGTCTATTATCTGGAAACTATTATTACTCAAAGTATAGATGAAAGTATCCCGCATGATCCGGAGGTAAATCTTCCGAGTCTAGGACCGTCTGCTCGCGATACACAGTAGGACTGTGAGTTTTTATATCAGGCTCTTCCATGACAGCAATGCCGTCGCTTCATCTAAACAAATGCACTCAAAATATCACTTCGCCACGTGCTTTAAGTACTGACAAATGCCCCTGGTTGATGTTCTTGTCGATTTGGCATGCCTCGGGACCCGGTACCCTCTTCCAAAATAGGAATTACGCGCCATCCACCTGGCCCGAAACCACCCTTAGATTAACCCCTGGAATCCAGCTATTGCCAGCTGTCTATATTCAAATCATGACATTTTCTGGATTCCTACAGTCACCAAATCTCTATCACTAGTCTACTACATCACTCACTATGCAACTAAACACGATTTCTCTCCTCGCTGATGATCGCAAAGGCAGCCCTATTGAGGTAGGCCATTGAGAACGCGACGAGCCCTCACAAAGATCGGGTTAAGGGTCTTGCTATATCCTAGCTAAAGCTTGATTTCACAAGACATTTTGGTGAGGTAATCAATTGGAACTTTTCAATTGTATTGGTTTACAATTAGCCGATCTAACGCAAATCTATAACCTTGAATAGAATTTAATCCCATAAAGCTAATTACGATTCTTATTCAAGTACCTGATTGATCATTTTCACTAATATGACGTGACAGACTCATGCCAGCACAATTTATGTTAAGTGGAGAGTAGTAGTATTGCAAGATGGTAGACTTTAACCAATATAAGATCATACGCAATTGTATAGTTTGTCTTTACGGTCTAGGGCGGCTAGAATCATGCTTGTTATAACTATAGAACTATCCTAATCTGAGCAGTATAAATACTATAGCTTGATCTGCTTCTTTGGTGAAATGAATCTGTCTAAGCTTTCTAGTGCGTCATCCAAAATTCATCGAGCATGGTAGTCGGCAAGAGGGCAGAGGTAAAAAGTACATTCTGCAGTCTCTGAGCAGCTCCGGATTGTTCGGATTTGTCATTACTAAATGTTTTCTGCAACCGGATAGCTATGATAACCCTCCATTGGAGGGAAATTTATCCTTTGAATGAACTGATATATTGAGTTTTAACCATATTTTCCTAGCTGACCGTTTTCGATTAGAGTTTGAGGTCAGAATCCGAAAAGTTAGCTAGAAAATTGTACTCGCACCGACATTCTTTGTGCATAATGACATAACTTGTAGTAACCTAGTTGCATAAATAGCATGTCAATCTCCACAGAATCTTACAGTGCCTCAAATTCACATACTCTATTTTGTCTAGAAACACGATCTAGTCAGCGATAATGTACTTTTCTTTCCCCTATTTTGCCCTTTTCGCTCCCAGTATAGCCTTGCAATTTCCATTCACCTTTCCTCCATTTCACGTCAGTAATGATTGGGCATATACTAACTGCGGCACACTGGATGACATTATCCAACTTAAGAGCATATCACTTAACCCTGATCCACCTTCTGCGTACGTTCACACCTTAACCTTCTATTTCCCATCCTTTCCAGATCCATAGCTAACAAGCGTAGCGGCAAACCTCTTGAAGTAAAGCTGACTGGGACTGTTACCGACATCATTGGCGAAGGCGCATATATGGACGTTGTCGTAAAGCTTGGTCGTATAAAGATCTTGAAAACAACATTCGATATTTGTGAAACTTTCCGTGATTATAACACAACCATCCAATGCCCCGTCAAGCCAGGGTCATATGAAGTCACTCATACCGCGGATCTACCCAGAGAAATTCCACAGGTATGTAAAGACACATATTTGAGTGCAAGGGACAAGTTTACTAACAATTGGGAAGGCAAAGTTCGATATCGACGCACTGGGCTTTACTGCAAATGAAGAAGATATGCTATGCTTAAAAATTCAAGCTGACTTTAGGTCAAAGTATACCTAGGGTGTAATAGTGTGAAGAACAATGCCATTACTCGGTTGGTTTACATGTGTTATCATAAGTGAAGGGAGCTAGTCTTTAAGAGCTTCACGTTAGATGACTTTGGGCCACTTTCTAATATTCTTACAATATTACCTTATTATAATTTTTTTATCTTTCGGTGTCTTGTTCCTATACCTTTGTCTGATTGCGAAGGGAGTCTGCTATACACCTACAGTAAATGCAGTGGATTCTCAGCTAATAACACTGGACAACAACAATGATTCAGCATATGGAACAAGATATTCCTTCTGTTTAATTTATGCTTGCCATCGCGGGGACTGTATACTAATCTGAGGGTGATTAGATTCTAGGATCCAGTACTTGATGGTTGTACTGCTTTATATTTTTGTTCGCTGCCCTTTTCGACCATCGTGTGGAGAGAGCCTGCAAATACTGCGTATTATCTCGTATGCAGAACTCATTCTACGTCGAATAGCCGCCCAGCGGAAATTGGTAACGCCTTAGGGCCTGTTTAAGTAGTGTAAATTCGAGCGGATATAATAAACTGACTGGCGGCAGCATTCTGTAGCACTCATAATCTAGGATAAAGGTAACGGTTCATAGGCTGTTATCATATCATATCCTTCGTAAGTACTAGCTCTTGGTGTCATTCAAGTGTGACGTTCAGACCGTACAGTAAAGGCGATATCAGGAATACCCCAAAATCCATCTTCCACAACAAGCAAGCGAAAACGAGCGAACCGGTGGGCACGACGACCCTACCAATGAAAGTAGAAAGACAGGGAATCCTACAAAGGAACCGCTCTCTGTATAAGATTCTCATCCGTTCCATAAATCACAGTAAAGGTACGTACTGCACCGGTTGATATTTACACGACCGTTCACGCCTATGTCCCTTCATTTCAGGGCTTACGGCGCGCGGCAGCGCGCGTCACCAGTCGTTATTTCGGTCTTGTGCCAATAGCTTGCCATAGCTTAGTGTCTCTTGGCACTATATAAGGCCACCGCAACATTTTTGCAACTGTCATCCTCCATTCCTTCTCCTTTATATTCTTCATATCTCGTGCATCATGTACCAGCTCACGGCAGAAGACCTCGACATCTTTCATCAAGATGACACTCCTGTCATCCGGGCAGCTGCCAAATCCAACCCAGCTATACTCGAAGCGCTGTTGGCTCATTATGCAGACTCCTGCCAGAATAAAAGCCTGTCGAAGGTCGAGCAGAACATGATAAAGATGCTATCACCCAATACAACCGTGAACCTGCATTGGAGAATCCAGTCTCCCATAAATGCTGCCATCGGCGCCAATTTACCAGATAATGTCCGTCTTCTGCTGGCCGCGGGCGCGGATCCGAACGGCATTAGAGCTGCCGATATGGCAGACTTTTCAGTCAACTTTATTCGTGGCCGTGACTTCCACTTCAACCGTAACGAGAAGAGGCTTGGTCCAGGGTTTGAACGTCATGCTCATGTTCTAGCCACTGCACGAAGTGAGGGAGGCATTGATCACCAGGTCTGCCCATTAATTGAGGCAGAGTTGGACGAGCGTCGCCATGGCTTTCCCCATTTCTGGACGGAGCCCTACATTCCCGGACGACGCTTGCTGCCGACGATGCACAAGAGAGTTACAATCGCGCAACGTCGGGTGGACAGCGCTTTGACAGCGCTGGAAGTCGCGGCAAATACTGGCAATATAGAGATCCTAGATCTCCTGCGGGCAGCAGGAGCGGACGAGTCTGCTTGGATACAACCATCAACCACAAGTAATGATGATGCGGACCACTTTAAGATTGAAGGTAAGGACGCCTCAATCTCCTTTCTGGCGACATCCTCTCCTGTCCACGAAGCCATTGCTGCCGGTCAGCAGTCCATGCTCCGTCATCTGCTGTCCACCTGTAGATATTCCCCCAACTATCGCCCTTGTGCAGCCCCCACTGTTGCTCTTCCACCACTTTCCTACGCCATCGCTCAGTGCGATCTCAGCAATACTGGCGTCCAGGGCTGCCTGGTTGACCTACTCTCCCATCCACAGCTGGATGCCAATCTGCATACACCCATCTTCAACGTCCATCTGCTCCACTTTGCCACGGCGCATCATGATCCCGATCTCCTCTCATGGCTGGCGGGAATCATTCCTGGTGGGTTCGCCGCAGCCGGGGTCACAGCACTTGGTCACACGCTACTCCATGTGGCCTCCTTGCCTCTGACAAATTGTCAAACTGTTGCCGGCAACCCCGATGTCGCCAGAAGCATCCATTGCGCCCGTACGCTTGACTCTTATTAGTCTCCATATCGACTTCCAAGTCCGATCCACATGCAGTTTTTGACGCCTGGGGAAACAGGTGCGAAACATCCGCAGCCCATGACAGTAGCCCAGCAACAGGCCCAAAAGGCCACGGTCCGGGTCTTGCTAGAATGGGGCGGGATTGATGTTCGTGCCAAAGATGTCGATGGCAACACGGCGTTGCATTATTTGGCGGGGACTTTGAACGTGGACGAGGAGACTGTGGAGTTGGTAAGGCAGATGGAAGGTGGGGAGGCAGTCTGGCAGGAGGCGACTAATTACTGGGGTCTGACTCCAAGGCAGCTATGGGGGAAGTAGTATGCGTGATTGGCAGATACATATGGTATGTAAGGTAGGTTATCAAGGCAAGCACATGATGGTAAGCATTCTCCTAGTTTAATGCTAACCTTACTTTCAAATCGAGGAATCCTTCTCGCTGCTCCGTTGCTCAATATCCTGCATAAGTAGCTCCAGCATCCTTACTTCAGCCCTGGTCCTTTCCTTCAACTCATCCTGTTCGGATAACCCATCGTAGGTGTTCTCTTTTTTTACTCTTAGATAAATGCGTGTGTCTTGTAATGACAGCTGGGCCAACAGCTCAGAATGGGTATGATAGTAAGCTTAAGTAGGGTCCATGAAGCTCCAGTAATAGAATCGACAAACAAAGAGATCAAAAGCAGACAGTTCTGTCATCTGCTATGTTTCCTGCGGGGTTGTTGGCCTTTGATGCCCCAAATGCTGACACATCTACCCACCCTGCTAATAGTGGTGAGGACTGCACATGTTCCACATCAGAAATAGTATTCTAATCTTAATTGTGTGGTATTATAACCATTTAAGGGTGGATCAAAACTCCTACTTAGGCCTAGTAAGCTCTACTATGAGTGGGAGAGTTGATGCAATCTGACTCAGACCAGTCGCGGTGAGAAAGTTATGGATAGCGCTGGCTGAGCTGAGAACGCCTCTATAGTAAGAGCGCTTACTGAGAACGAGGGCTGCCTGGTGTGCTTACTTCTTGCTAACCTGTCCACCTATTAATCTGGTCCACGTGTTATGCTGATAATATTGGATTTGCTATATAGCTGAATGTAGTTATTAAGGGAGTGGTGATACTTGAGAAATGTGTATTATGATTCACAACGCTTATTGAGTAACAGGCAGTACATTCTGTGATTCTGCTCTTGGCAGGAGACAAGATAACGCAGATATCGAGAAAGAAGATGCGGTTCCAGTTATCTGAAGTCCACCATGAGGCGGACGAATTCGAGGAATTAGTTGCCTGCGAGGTAGCGAGCTTCGAGCATCCCCAACAATCAATCTTTCGATTTTTCTACCCTATATTTGGCCATGAATCTCCGGTGGAAAAGCAAACAGCCTTCAAAAGTCTGGTCGAGCTGCAACGCGAGTGGTCGCGCGATGATCCAGACATAGTGTGGACCATGGCCATTGACACACAGAATAACAACAAAATCGTCGGCGGCTTGTTGATGAAGGTCCACAAGAAGGACCCTACTGCTCGAAAGAACGATAACGGGCATCAGTCTGCCTTCTGGTATCCTGCCGGTAGCCAGCGGAAGTATATCGATGAGTGCCTGCGCATATTTACTGCCCCGCATGAGAAATTCATGCAGAGACCACATGTTTGTAAGTTGTGCGCCGAGAGAAAATCTGGAAAGTTTGCGAATTAACAAGTCGATAGACCTATTTATTGGCTTCGTCCTCCCAGAATACCGACAACAAGGAGTTGCCGACATGTTTCTCGCTGATGCATGCCGCCGGGCAGATGAGCTCGGAATAGAAGCGTGGCTTGAATCTGTGGTGGCTATGGGGGTTCCGATTTACATGCGACACGGCTTTATTCCCTTCCGTAAGCACGCGGTAGAGCCACACGCTGAAAGACCAGACGATGAATGGAAGGATATGGAGGGAAAAATGCAACCTCTGCGATTTTGGCCAATGTGGCGACCTCCCTATGGCAAGTTTGTCCCTGGGGAGACAAGCCCACCTTGGAATGAATTTATGAGTGGCATGTTGAGCAGGTTGTAGCTCGTTCCAGTATTCTCCTTTTCAGTGATTTAAGTGAGCCTTGTTAATATAGTTGAATGAGCGTGGTATCGTGTGGGAACAATGACTGCCAGAGCCGAGAGTACAGTTAAGCCCTCTGAAATATTACTATTGTCGCCTTTGGAGAACACGCTCCGAAGCTGGCCATATGCAGCTAGCTAGACTTGACGCAGTCTAGCTCATTCTTGAAGCAGGCATGTGTTTATTAATGTTGGACTGCTAGCGCTCGGAACGACCGTAGCTTAAGAGTCATCATAAGGTAAGATTCAGCCAGCCATTGACTACACTGACGCTGAATCAGACCTGATGATATATAAGAGTGTAAAATTCCGCCCAGGAGTAGGAATTCAGGCCACCGATTGAAACTACCACTTTTGAAGAATCATGTTCAGCCAGTTATTGGCAAAAGCTACTTCCTCCTTTCTACGCCCAGGACCAGACTCCTACACCGAGGATGACTATTCACACCTTGTTAGGGATCTGAGAGTATGGATTATGTCAGATTCGAAACGGAAGGCCGATTTTGAAGAGGCAATCACCACAGCCCGTTCACACAATACAACTGAGCTGCAGGATATTCAATGCCTAGAAGATTACTTTCGATTTATCAACGACCAGCTTCATTGGATACCAAGCGAAGCTGCGCGGCCCAAGGACATTCTCTACCGGATATGTAAAGCGTGGTTTGTTCTCGACCAGCCCTCTGTCGCCGCTTATCAGGGCGCAACTCAGCCATCATCTGAGCCGGAAAACAGCCAACATGACAAACTCACCTGGCTCTCAGACTGGATAGTACGCTTCAGCAAGGAAATCGGAACATTTATGGATTCACCAGCTTCCTCAGCCTCACTGGATACATTCAAGGCAAGTCCCGCGTACAATATAGAAGACTACTTCGAACCTCGAGGAGGATGGAGGACATTTAACGAATTCTTTTGCCGCAACGTCAAGCCTGGCCGACGGCCCATTACTGCCATTGGGGACAACTCAGTTTTAACATGCCCCGCCGATTTTGTGTTTGAAGAGCTTTATTCAGTCTCTGCAGATTCTACCGTGACCACGAAAGGACTCAAGTGGCGGATCGCTCAACTGCTCGATGATTCGCTGTACAAGGAGTGTTTCACTGATGGGACGTGGCTGCATGGGTTCCTGGACGTGAATGATTATCACCGAGTACATGCACCTGTCAGCGGAACGGTCTTGGAGGCCCGAACGATTGTCGGTCGAAACTATATGCAGGTTTATGCTACCAGCCTTCCAGGACCGGATGCTGTGCCAAATAGAGCCGCACAAACGAACATAGTCATTGACACAGCCGGCGCAGTGCTTAGTGTCCGCAACGAGACAGGCTACCAGTTCTGCCAAGCTAGAGGACTGATTGTGCTGGATACAGGCTCTGGTCTGGTTGCCGTGTTGCCTGTCGGTATGGCCATGGTGTCATCAGTCATTCTTACTGTTGAAGCTGGCGCAAAATTACATAAAGGTGAAGAGCTGGCGTATTTTCAATTCGGCGGGTCGGATGTTGTTTTGATCTTTGAAGACAGGCTGAAGGTTGACATCACTATGGAACGGGGACAGCATTATAGGATGGGCGTGGAGATCGGTCATTGCAAGTGTTCTTAATTTTGAGTTGGGTCCTTTAGGACTTCACATCTACCTACCTAGTAGGAAAAAGCCCTAATCGATACTGCGTTTTCGGTCCAATGCACTACATAGTCGGGCTTCATCAACTCATACATAGATGCAACACTGCCAGCAGTTTGGAGGATTTGCATAGGTAAGTTTTTTCGGCAGCAACATCATTCCAAGTACGACCTTGATGCGTGCGGGGCCATGCCATATTTGCAATTGATGAATCATTAAACTGAATAAGAATGGATCTGCTCATATGCAATGACGTGTCTTCAGGATAACAATAGGAGGTTCAGGCGATCGGCCTCATCTGACTGCCGTGATTTACGCAACTCTGATATTTGCAAATAGTGAGTCTGCTCGGGCTCAGTCCTTGATTCCTAATCACTCCCAGGTAAGCTCGAAGAGGCATCCACAACCGATGAGTTTGCTAAACTCGACCCATTCGCTGCAATGGCCTCCGCAAAAGCCCGAGGGTGGTAGCTAGAGCTGACATATGTAGTCTGAAAGCCTTGGTAGTGTACCATGTCCAAAGGCATGAATTCATCAGACTCAGGGGAAGTGGCGTGAATTCTCCACCGGTCGACATCTGTTGCTCCATTCCAGCTTACCCAGAAGGTGGTTGCTGAGTTTGTGGATGGACTGTATGTCCGAAGCGCAGGAGGGTCACTTGGCTTTGCAGTCCAATTGGCCTTGAATGCACGGTAATTCTGTGCATCTGGGGATTCCAATGTAGCAAAGAATATTGCAGTGCCGTCCTCGGTATGCTCAGAAATCGAAGGATGGGTGCCCCATCCGATCACGACGTTTTTGTTCGGCAATATTTGGGTGTTTCCCTGGAAGAAGGAAAGCAGACCGTTGCCCGGGGCATGGTATTCTCTGAGCAATGTCGAGGTGTCCGTATTGTGATCGATAGAGATAATCTTCCCGGACGAAGTGGATGACGTGTTTTTATGCTTGTTGCTTGCATTGTCGAAGAAAGAGAGAATTGTCGTGGTCTCATTCTCCTCTCGAAACCGGGCGTCATGTTGATAGGAGAAATTGTAATCTCTCAGTTGGAAAGAGGATTGATTCCCGCCCAGTTGCCAGATAATGGACCCATTCTTGCCGGAAACCTTGTATATGCAGCTGGTATGTCTTGCAGATACGAGGTAGTCGCCGTCGTTGTTCTTATCTACCGAATTAATGTGAAAATAGTCCCAAGCGCTACCATTAGTCAAGCCATCACCAACCACTGCGTCTAAGCGCAGAGGGATTAGGGTAGCCGAAAGGGGAACGTGGTCAAGCGATCTCCACTCAAATAAGACCTTTCCTGTCTTGATATCCACCTCTTGGAAGACGCCGTCTATAACCCAACCGTTTCCAGGACCTATGCCATATGCTGAGAGGTTGTAAGGTCCTGTTTGGTATATAGTGATGAGTGCTGTCTTCCCATTAATGACTCTCATTTCATGTAAATCGCTTGGAAGCGTCCCATTCCCGCTTTGCACAGTGGTTGTTTCTTTGTAAGTGTCGTCCAAAATCGTATGATAACCCCTTGCATATCCCTCGGTTTGCACTCCTTGATAATAACAGAGGTGGTCTGATCCATTATAAGGGCAAACATGGAGGTCATGGAAAATATCAGTTGAAGAGCTATTAGCCCCACTCCATACAAGGTTCTAGACACGTCAGCGCTGTCACAAAATTAGACCAGGGTAATGCACAAACACCAGACGTGTCAAAGATATAGGGTCCCGGCAGATCTACGCCATAGGGAGTGAGAAATAGATAGCCTGGGGTAAGAAGACTATCGTTTTTTATGCTGATATTGAAAACTGGGGCGCGGATATCCGGCCGCTTGCCATGTCGGATGATTATTAGCATACCCTTGGGCAATCTAATGGGGGCTTTCACTGACAGACTGGAAGGACGTCGAATTTGCGCAATTTATCACACGGACAAATGTCAAGATCCAAATAATCACCGGCAGACCTTTTCTAAGAGGTACTAGGTTGCTGTTCTGGTTTGAAGCCATGGTGACTTGGTTACAGGAAATCGCTGCCCTCGGCCATAAGTGTCTCGGGAGTGCCTGAAAGGATTTGATAGTGTAGAACGGCGATCAGTCTATAAATGGTTTTGAAGAGACAGTCCAGAGCATTAGTAGGACGACTACGGGTTGAAAGACGATAGATCTAACGATTCTGGTATTACATCATGACTTAGTTTCTTAGACATGAATCTACAGTAGCTAGTCTGCGTATCGTGGAATAGATATATGGTTTATAATGATTTAAGAATGTCTTTGCATTGCCTGAACTTTATTTTGATATTTGTTCCCAGGTCGTAAGAAGTCCCATAAAAGGTTCTGTACGCTACATATAATGTACCCCTCCTCCGGTCCCTCTAAATAGCCAACATCGTGTCGGCTTGAAGAAAAAGTGCCAAGCCTTTGATTACATTCCCTGCCAGCCGGCTGAAGATAAGCCTAAAAGTAGCTGAACTCAGGGCTTTTAGGGAATCGACGGGCGATTGTCCTATTGGCGGCAAGTTTCCGCATTGTTCGGTTCGGGGCCTGATTGACTTCCCCAGATTCCATAAGTACACTGCTCACTTCCCTGTCATGAGACACTATGCGGATACGCTAGACGCCATAATTGGTCTGAAGACCAAGGTTGAGTTTGTGGCTTTCAGCGATACTTTAGAAAATTATGTTGGTACGGCGAAAGCCGATCTTGGTTACATTCATAGACGCATGCGGCTTACATGACCTCATCGCTATAATCCCTCGATTTGTTTTCAACTTTTTTTTTTTTCCGTAAAGCATTACACCTCTACATCCTGTAGCCTCTCGCCGTCAATGACATTCCATGAGACGAACGATAGAAGCAAGAGTTATGTATTGCATAGTAGTATGCTACTTCCCTATGCTATTTAACCAAGCTGTGGTGTACCGTGTGCGTCACCGCTAGTTCATCCGCTAGTTCTTGAGGTACGTCTACTCTTCTGGCGCTCGTCAGTCTACATCCGAATTAGCTAAGAGACAAAACAATGACGATATACGCTGCTTCGATTTAAGCATGTACCTAGTAATGCAGAAATATCTCCATAATATCCATGCTGGCCTCTCGCTTATGCCAGAACTGATTTAGTGACACATCAACGGAGTATATGAGCCGTAGGAGATGGAGGCAGTCTCGATAGCCTTTGAGCAGGGCCTGAACGACTTTTGAGGGCATGTCACAAATAGGAGAATCTAGAGGACATATTTTCTTCGCCAAAGAACACACCCAATGGATCGTGGATGGATATTGCAGTAGAGAGAGGGAAATGGGATCAGAATAGTGACTGATACAATTTATCCATTGCATATACTTAAGATAGCCTAGAGAAAGTGTCTTCATAACATAAAATTGAAGGGTCAAACAACTATCACCATGCGCTAGTCCTATCAGGACAAACAACAGCAGCAAAGAAAGCAGTTCATTTGGACTTCACTAAGGAGGAATGGGTTGCTTTATTCTATGATCCTTACCTAGAATTCAGGGACGTTGAAAATGATATTATTTGACCCAGACAGTCCACGGCCGAAGCTATGAGCTTGCTGGAAATCAATCTGTGATGATTTAACTAACTTTGACACTTATTCTATGTAGAAGTAACATGATATATATTTGGAAATCAGGGAAGAGATATTAATTAGTTAAGCATCACTAAAAGAAGCATTCAAAGGCAACACAAATTGGTAAATAAGCGCCAAACTCCTAAGTGGTTTGTCCAGTATTAAGCCTCATGTAGCCGCACATCAATCCCCATCCAAGAAGTTACAAAGATAACACTTTTGAGAACCTTTTGCAGATCTCAGAGAAATTAGTCCAGGGTCAGCTCCTGTAATAGGGGAGTGCTCTTTCCGCCTTGGCCTTGCACCCTACAGATAAGTCTCCCACTTCAGAAACAATTCCGATTGCCTTTGTCTGTTGCATTGTCAATGTGGCAAGGAGAGATCCTCTCGATAGAAAGACATACCGCAATTACTGGGCCTGTCGCCTCCCTTCACCCACCAACTGTTTCCAGTCCTATACCAGCCACTGCGATTGTTTAGTAGGAATATCTGCATGAAGTGAATAGAAATCTCTCACTTGTATTTGCAAATGTAGTCAACATGCTGATTATTCCTATACGATCCCAACCTATCGCTTGAGTCGCAAGGATATCTGTAGTAAGGGATCTGTGAGTTCTTGCTGCATCGATCATTGTCGCCCTTGCCGTTGCGGTTGGATCTCTCCTCGACGGATTCAGCGTCAACGTCGGGCTCTGGAGCTGGTATAGCAAGAGCCAGGGGGAGTAGAACAGTGAGAATGTAGAGTGGTGACTTCATGTTTGAGTTGATAGCAACTGTATTATTTAGAGTCTCTTTGCTTTGATACTGATGGTCTTGGGGGTCCACGGTTAGGTTGCTACTTGGGTGAACTTGGGTCCTTTAAGTATTCAATGTATATTGTCTGAGGTTGATAGTAAAGCTCTATGACGATGAACTTCATCACACTACTGGTGGCCACCAATCATGTCTAGAAAGGCGAGTCCGGGCATAACATGACTGCTGAAGACTCTTCTAGGCTTCTGATCATGCTCGTCCATGGCTGTTGGGGCCCTTGGGGTGTCAAGGCGGAGAGAGGGCAACCGGAATTTCGCCAAGCGGAGCAATAGGCCTGGCAAGACGCAGAAACTCGGTGCTGGAAAGTAAGTAGATGAACTGCCTGCTTTTGCTGTCTGCTTCGAGTCAAAAATGGATGGTCTATGGGCACAAAAATAGAAACAGTTCTTTGGTTCAAATAAAGCTCAACCTTAGTTATAGATCGCCCGTTGCCAAGCCTCTAGTGTCGGCCGTTCGGCAGTGGCGCTAGCTATGTGGGCTTGGACTCATGGCCATGACTGCATTGTTATATTTGTATTCAATATTCAATTAGCATTCTGAGTCGTGGTACACTATGAATAGCTTTTGCGATTATTGATTGAGTTATAGAACAAATGCAGTCTTCTCTGAAATGATTTCCACCATCCTCATGAGACCCCAATGAAATAGTCATAACCACCCCATAAACCAAAAATATCCCTTCACATGGAGTCAGCTACGTCTTCATTGCGTATCCGAGCGAATCAACCGTCTACGATCATATTACCATAGTTAACTCAACCAAGCAAATATACCGTCATAGGTTATGTCAAGTGGTACATTCAAAATCGCCTGCTCTTGTTGCAGCCGCGTCGCCACGCCGAAATCATACGACACCGAACCTAAAATCAATGCATTGTTTTATGGATATCTCTACCTTAGGCATCCAGAATTACAACACAATAGAACTTGGGGACTAATTATTTCTATTGTGGTTGGCAGGCAGTCACATCGTACCATCTCAACCATTTCCTGCATCTGACAGTATGCATTCAGACGCATCACAACCACTGTAGGACACGGTATTCCCCCACCAATCCAGCTTCACGGATGTTATCTGCAAGGCGAAGAAAATAACAATACCTGCCACCGCTATTCCAAACCCGAAGGAAGAGGTCATCCCGTAGGCATATGTTTTCCACCAGCCGCGTATCTCCGCTTGATGTAGTAGTTGACGATGAACCCAACCACAACGGCAGGCCAGACATAGCTGAAATTGTAAGGGGCCCACATGAGTCCTCCGCTTAAAATCACGGGAATGTTAATGTAGCGTAGCCAGGACTTGGAGTAGCGCTTTGCGAGGAAATAGAAGGGGATGGGGAGCAGAGCGCCGATGAGGAATCCGTATTCGAGGGGCTGGTACATGCTTCCATTGTTGAACATCCGTTTGGGTCCGATCAGTCCCCATATTATTGATGCGCTGAAGAAAGTGTGTGTGCCTGTATAATTATATTGTTAGATATACGCCGTTAAATGATGTTGACACGTATGACCAAAGACGTACCTGGACATGTAAACCTCGACGGCTGATCTTTCGTACAGACGTCAGGGATATTTGCCATTTGCCATGCATTGGCGCCAAGAGTCACAAACGAAGCGATAATCGTTGCCCCGATCTGGGCCGTGAACATGGTGCGGGAGGGATTTTCATATAATGCCCTAGTTTTAGGTCTGCCGCGAACTGTACCGACTGCAAACAAGTGACCGAGCTATATGCCTTGAAGATCATATTGGCGATCGGTTGGTTAGGAATTACGTAGCCGGCAATAAACTCCGCAACCACGTTGTCGCTGAGCTCGGTGTTTGTGACGGCCTTGAGGATCCCAAGCGGGAGCTGTAGCACCAGAGAAATTCCCAGCGCTACGACGAGGCCCCAGATTGGCAGTCCAGTGTCATATACCCGACAGGCTATGCAGCCCATTGCATACGAGAGAGCCAGGGTCGCCAAATACCACCACTCCGGGACCTCCTTGTAGGCTCTCATCAAGCGGCTGTGGATATCATCGTAGAAAGCACTCGGTACCTTCCGCTTGAATGCCGCGCTTATTCCATTCGTTATATCGAAGCGGTGATGCAGTGCCACGTAGACCAGAACTGCAGGACAGATGGCGAAGTGGGCGGAATATACGATTGAGAGAGCCGCACTCATGTACGGTGGTCCGTAGGCCTCATATCCCCTGGTGTTGAGGGTAAAGTCTGAGTCAAGTACGCGGCTGACGTTGTAGACGTCGCCGGTGCCGTCAAACACTCTGTTGGAATTGATGGGCCAGTGTGCACTGCCCCAGATATTTGTGAAATAGATTGGAACAATGATCAAGAATCCAGCGGCGAAGGTACCAAACGCCCTATTCGCCAGTGAGAACCATGGAGTCACCACGGGATCGCCAAAGTAAGACAGGATATTCCAGTCAAACGTTGGCCAGGGATTTAGTCCCATCCCACCGATACTCCCACAAATAATCGCCAGCGTCACGTTCATGGGCGAGATCCAGGTGGGCCAATTGAAGAAGGACAGAGCCTCGAAGATGTAGTTCGGGAACCAGAAGTAAACAAACATACCGAGGGAGCAGTACAGAAAGAAACGATATCTGGATATCTGCCACCCATTCGCACTCTCAGTCGAGCCACTGTCGCGGAGCGCTCTGTTCAGTGCGATTTGCGCCAAATTCACCGGCCACAGCATGGCTGGTGGGTAGACGAGAAACCGTCTCAGGATCCCAGCACATCCAAACCCAGTTAGATTGATTGATAGGGCCAGGAGAATCTGGAATTCTGCGCTATTGGCCAAGTCTTTCACACCATAGAAAATATCCAGTTTCAGCGCCTGCAGGATGAGCGCCACAGCCCCAGCATTGCCCATACCTCCATAGGCCACATTGGCCATGACCGTTACGAGCATATGTTCCTTCTGGTTGAAGGGTCCGGGGTTCAGACTGATGCGCCGTCCAAAGATATCGACATGCTTCGCCGGCAAAGTCTTAGCCATAAACACCCCAATTGGGTATGACAGCACCTGGGCGAGGCAGGCGCTTATGGTGATCCCCGGCTGACGGAGAGAGAAAAATTGGTCGATACCTGTACCGAGAACAGCGAATGTAATACCCAAGATCCAGGCTCGGATGGTGTTTACAGGTAATTCAGGGTCATCGGTATTATCCACAATAGCCTTGACTTCCTGGTACGGGGAGTCCCCGAAAAGCTGATCATGAGCGTTTTGAAGGGCAGACACGTCCGTAATTGCGGTCTCCCTATCCGATGTGGGAGCGACTCGGTCGAAAAAATCGACAGGGAAATTCGGATCCAACTCATGATGTGCAATCGTTTCCCTGAGCTGCTGCAGAAGGTTTTCCTTTTCCTCGTTATGGGAAGGGGATTTCTCATTCTCGGAGAGAGGCTGTGAATTGAGGTCGGATGCAGAGGTTTCGGATATGTCACCTGTCTCCTTTGATGGGGCTATTTCGGTATCAGTTTTATCCATCATCGCAGGTTTGGTTTATCTACAACAATTGAGAGAAGAGACAAGGGTCAGGCTATAGACTGTCGCTCATCGGAGCACCAACATGTACAATATCTGCATATATATTTTACAAAACTACAACATTTGTTATAGATTATGTGAATAACCCTACCAACTCGCTTGCCAGATGAGATTCATGTAAATAATTTGTCATTATCTACTTAATGGTACCTATTATACAGCCAATGGTTGTGCAGGTGAAGAGTATTGCTTGCGGAAGGCGGCCAACAGTAATCAAAAAGGACCACAGAAAACTCTCCATGGACCTCATAACAACAGGATGGACAGGTATAGTGCTAGCCCATATCATGTAGGCTAACACGGCTGGTTGATAGTAACTGGCGCCGAACAGGTGTCTAGGGCTATTGGAATATTCTTCTGTTCAGGTCCCAGTCACACTGCATTTGCACCAAAAGCATATAAGATTCTAATTTCTACCAACAACTCTTGAGCTTGTGTTATCTACTGAGACCTGTCTGCAATTTTGTGGCTGATTATATAAGGCAAGATGTAACATTAGTTGCAATACTCATGAATAGCTGTGAGCTCCATTCCGGATTCGGCGTGTATAGCCGGGTTCGGAGATGCTTGAGAACATCACGTCCCAACCACTATCCCGCCGCCCTCCCCTACCCAAAAAAGCGAGACACAAAGACGAGAGGTGTAAGTAGCGTGAATACATGGTCTCTTCATTCTCCACTCAGTCCACAACTTCTATCGCTGCGCCTTTACTTATTAAGATTATGAAACCTACAGTGAGCCGCGCGAATCCAGTTCGGAAACCAGCGTTTGAAAGCAGTATATATACATGTGAAGTTGAATGTGGCCTGGGAGATTGGATAAATTGTACTGAATTATATATTCTTCTATGTTATACCTGGCTTCTGACAGACCTCTGGTTTCTAAGTTTTCCGCGGACCTCTGTGAGATTATATTCAGTATCAGTCAATCCCAACACAGTCGAATCTTCCTAATCTGAACCTGAACATAACATATCATTTAGATATATTATACTGAGCCTGTTCATGAAAGGCCCGTGATTATTACCCTTATGGTGGGCTTGGGACTTTCTGGCAAATTCCTAAGATAAAGTTAGTGTGAATAGCATATTTTTGTGGGAGGCTCATACTTTGTGCTTTATTGGACTATGGGATTCGTAATGGCAGTTGGTTGAATGCAAAGAAGCAGGTTGAGTTTTGTACATGATTATTGAACATTGTAGCTGGTTGAAAGTGGAAGGAAGCTATACTTTATATGAATGACTCTTGGCTATGGAATCCTCTACTTAGAGAACAAAGGAGGATGCATCCTCTAAACCACCCAGAGGAATGAAGAGCAAATGAAGCAAGGCAATAGCTTGCAGATGATTGAACCCATCCATCAAAGCTGACTGCGTTTAATTTCTAGGGTTAGGCAAATAGACACCTCAGATCTCAGGCACCAAATCATCAAACCCTAACAATTCAGGCAGCCGTCAATTGATGTCAGCATGGTCAGCATATTCGTCCCTAAGCTTATGAACAAATATCTATGGTCATATCTAACTCATCATCGGAAATACAATATGTTCATCTCTGACACTATGCATAAGCGTCTATAATCATACCCAAGTCATCATGTCTGATCCTCTCAGTCTCATCTCCAGCAGGTGCTTCCACCGCCGCGTCACTCTTGACACAGCATATGGGCCCCTCGCCATCACATTCGCCGACATTGGCTGCACCACGGGCCCTGCGCTGCTCTTCCTACCGGGCATGTTTGCTTCCCGCTATCTCAGTATCCCTATGCACGTAATTGCAGAACGTGCCGGTGTGCGCCTGCTTGTGGTTGACCGGCCTGGAATGGGTGCGTCGACTGATGTACCACTCACCCAGCGCATTGCCGTCTGGGTCGATATGCTGCCACGCCTGCTGTCCCATCTGGGTATTCTGCGCGTCAGTCTTGTAGCTCACAGCGCCGGAACTATCTACCTGCTTAATACGTGGTCGCATTGCCGTGAGATTGTGAGCCCGGTCGTTACTTTCTTAGGTATTTCAACCCTACCCTCCCTCCCTTCCCTTGAAGACGAGGGGGAAGAAACAGATACAGAAAGGAGAATAAATAACTCAGTATGCTGTTATAGCTCCGTGGGTTGATCTCACCCACTCCCGCGTTACAGCAATGCAGATGGCCCAGTACGTGCCCACCAAGGCATTCGCAATGTGGCACCTCATCCCGCGCTTCTTTGTAACGCAGGCTGCGCCTGTGCTGGCGTCAAGCGGGGCTGTGATCCGCCGGATGTCATCACCGAGCAGTGAAGCGGCGGACCGCTCATTCCTCGATGCTAATTGGCGGCGCGTCGAGCGTGACTATGGCGTGCCCCATGCTGAACAGGCGGAGCTCGCTCGTCTCGCCCTCCGGTTTATGTATAAAGAGGACACTGTTGGGGCAAATAGCGAGGCCTTGCAGTGTCTTCGGAAGGGCGATGGTAGCTCCTGGGGAGCGTGCTCGGACTATGCTCAGTGCGTGCAGACGCTGGCGGCCCGTGAACGGTCCGCGGGTGGCCGGGTCAGTGTCCGGACGTACTTTGCCGCCAAGGATGCCTTGGTGGGCAGCCGGGGGCAAAAGTACTTTGAGGAGAGCTGGCGGGCACCCGGTGTGGAGGCGTTTGACTATGTCTCGACGATCGTCGATGGAACAGATCACGATAATCTGGTGCAGTCAGTGGAGGTATGGGAGGAGATTTTTTCTTCAGTACAGTAAATCAAGTTTTATGACTCATGATATCTTGGCCAGGCCTGAGCTACATACCTCGTGGCTTCCTCGATGCTCTGTATGACCTGTTTGAATGTTATTAGTGGATATTATTTCTTTGCTATAGGTTCGCCTGCATGCCTCTATGCAGAGGGTGGTATACTTTAGACCTGTGTGACCAGATGACTAGATATTATCCCCCCCCGCACATACTATTGCGGATGTCCTCGGAGTTGAGATCTAGAGAATTTTTACACTGATATCATGATTGGCTGCGATGCATGTAGATCAGCTTTTTATCCTTGATTCCGTGAGACGTGTGACCATTGCCGACACGCGACAATCTGCACGCACAGACAAACTTAATCGAAGCTCAAACTCCTAGTCATCCTACGGCGTATGTGCCTGAATTTCGAGTTATGTTTCCGATTGAGTGTTCTAGCTCTTGAAGAGCGAATCGTCTTCAATCGACCGGGAATGTTGCATAAGCCCATCAACTTCGCACCTGAATTGCCTGTTCTAAATACTATTTATATGTATACACACACACACACACATATATATATATATGCATAGCTAATATGCTTATAATTAGCTAGGCAAGAGAATTGCTTGTTTATCCTCAAGGGGTAACTGAGAAAAAGGAAGAGATTTCTATCTGGTAGGATAGTGCAAAGAGGTTCAGCTAATGTGATATCAGAGAGGGGCATGCAGTTGGTGTAATATATGGTAGGCGGCGGTAGAATCACTCCCACCTTACCACTGATTGCCTGGCGGTACATGTCACTCTGCCAGAGGAATGCGGGTGGTCGGTAATAATATCAGGAAACAGAAAAGGCTGTAATATAGATATAAAGTAGGAAAGAGAGAGTACAGTAGACAGAGAAAGATAGCTAGTTAGTCACCATCTAGTGGCTGCATGTAGAACTAGATAGGTGGAGACTAATTACCATAATAGAGAATGTAATGATAACACTGTGGCCATGCTCAAAGCAGCGTTGTATTAAAGAAGCTAGAATGTAGAGAGATTCGGCGGACTTGCAACTGGCTAGGTGCAAGCCAGGGGACTTTTGCGGGTGATGACAAGAGGCCAGAGCAGAATATGCGCCTGGACCAGAGCTGTTCCTAGATCAGGAAGACTTTCTTGCCATATGATAAAGAACGGAAATGTACCATGGGGTTAAAGAAGACAGGCGTTGTTGATTCGTTTACCTTGATAATTAAGGTTAAGAGCTGCCTCCACTTAGCGTACCTTGAGTAGTTGCGAATTCCACAGACTTCAAGTCATATCCCTTGACCGTTGATTTTCTTCCACTTTCTTCCGCGTGGACAGAGCTTAGACAATTATGGAACGGTTTCTCCACCAGCAATCCCCTATAATATGAGGACAAAGACCCAGCCGGAACACCCGTAGCGATCCTAGGAAGTGCACTGGCACAAGTGGTCCAAATAAGCTGCGGCGCCCTTGGCCTAGATCGCTCACGTGATGATGTACGCTGCAGCTCCGGGAATATCCCAGGAACTGAGACACATGTCGAGAACTGGATGTCGGACCCGAATGGTTTTGACTATAGAATTTGCAATAATCACAATAGATACAACCTCAATAGCGCATGCTATACCCAGAACGCCTCATGCTATGCAATATCAAACGCCATGCTGAACCCAATAACCAATAGGCCACCGGACCGAATATAGCAAGCAATACAATTCAATCCAGAAATATGCAGCGTAATTGCAGCAAAGCACCAGCCTCAGACTATGCGCGAAGCTGGTTGCCGGTATATACGCCCTCAAAGTCAAGTGCAGCCAACATGCCATTGATCCGGTCTATCTCCCGACTCAGATCCTCGACGTTCATGGCGAGGCTGCTGACCTCGTCAAATTTGCGACGTCTGTTCGCATCCGCAATCATTTCCGAGACAAAGAACTTCTGTTCTTCTAAGACGATAAGGCGTTCGCTCAGTGCCTTCTCCTCTGCTTCCAAAGCAGAGACGGCACTACTTGTGTCGCTTGCTAGGCTGGTATTACTCCCGCTCGCAGCTATGCCATTATACTTGATGGATGCGAGAGCCGACTCTCTTGCTGGGTGGCCACCCACTGCATGATTAGTTGGAGTCGCAATTGAGCTGGCTGGGCTTGCAGGTCGCCCGTTTGGTGTTGCATGCTTGAGAATCCTGGGCAAAGCTTTCAGCGAAAGCATGTGAAGGTGCAGGAAGTTAGTGGCTTGTTGGTAGATGGCCTTTTGAAGCCGCTGTTGTGTTGGTGAATCGGTTGGCATATCACGAATACGCCTGGCGGCGACATCATACTGGGCGAAGGAATCAGTAAGTCGTTTCCGGACTTTTGAAGCTTCGGCAATCTGAGCCGCAGAAGGGGTCGCCTTGGGTCTCTGATAAGAAAGTATGATGTTAGATATAGCAGTAATGATATAGATATGCAACATACTGCAAAGTTGTGAGGAGCTTCTGAAATTTGGGCAAGAGCAGCCGAATGCCCCTCTCAAATTGCGCCAGATTCTCGTACGCTCTGACGTCCGGAGGTCTGCGCATGATATCTGCTTGGAAGTCCCGTCGGTCGAACAGGGTCGATTTACACTCCTTGCAAAGCCTTATGTCAACATTGATAGCACGCCCATTCGGCGTCTTTTCCCCAGTCGCTTTGGCCACTTTATCCAATTAGCAAAAGTTACAACAACCCAAAGGAAACAACATACGAGGTGTTATACTAAGAGGAACTTCACTGGAACATCCAGTCGCAGGGTCACCGCACACAACCCGCCCGCAAGTTCTGCAATGGTGTCTGCGAAAGGTATAACTGGTGAACTCCTGCTGGCAGAACGGACACCGAAGTACGCCAGTATCGTCCTGCCAGCTAACAATAGTCTGCTCGAGCGCTTTCCGTTGGTCGTTTTGCCATGAAATTGGCCATCGTTTTCCTCCTTGTATCTGATCCGGAGGTAGACTCGCTAATAGCTGAGTGAGTCGTGTCAATCGCTTTTCCAGCCGAGAAATTTCCAATGTAGCTTTGTCGACGGTCTGCTTCCTCACAGCCTTGAATTCGTCCATTCGGTCTCGGACCAGGCCTGACTTGGGTTAGCATTACCATGTCGCAATCAACAAGCCATAGACAACATACCATTATGGTCGTTGTACCCTTCCCTTGATTTATAACAGGTCTCGCATACTCTATACCACAAACCCCTCACAGGCTCATGCTGCGCCGATCTGGACAGTTTCATCTGGTACATGGTATGCTCTTCGCAAAAGAGCTTCCCGCACTTGCGACAGTTGACGCAGCCATTCGTGGCATTCAGGCGCTTCCCGCACGACGGCTCCAGACAGGTATCGTATAATCCCCGAGCTTGCCAGTGATCCTTTGTGATGATGTCTTCAGGGTCCAGTACTCTCGGCGGCTCGTTGTAAGGCTGGGGCGCAGCGGGCCGACTTGCACCAACGGATGGGTGATGGTTCTCGTTCGACTCGAAGACGTCCAGCCCTTTTAGTTTCTGATTCAATACAGCTAGAGGCTGGAAGCGCTTCGCCTTTTCCATCTGCACCTTGAACCAATCCTTGACCTCATCTTGCCGGTCGTCTTCGAGGTTTTGATGTACGTCATCGAGGTGTCTGGAGTTATTGTTAGGCAGGTGTCGCGAATACAGTGCATCGGAACAAATACCTATTCAATTGCAGGAGAGTCACCTGTAGTGTGTTAGTTTCTCACTCAATGACTTGTTTCCCAAACAGAAAGCCGGGACGGGGGTCGAGGTGAGGGGCGTCCATACCATCTCCTCATTGCAGATCGGACAAGCAAGCTGAGCTCCGGCAGCCGCCGGGGCCGCCGATATGGACGTCGCACCATTTTCTAACGAAATCCGGGAAGTGAGATCTTGCGTTTCGGATGAGAACTGGGAGGCGGAGGCCTGGGAACTGAGGGAGAGGCTGCTGGCGGACGGCGATAAGATGCTTGGCTTCTGTTGCGGAGACGGCGTCGGTGCTGCTGCTGCGAGAGCGTTCGGAGTGCCCAGGACACGACCTCCACCCAGCGTCCTCCGGGACATGATTAGATGCGGGTTATGGGAGCATAGGAGATAGACCCGCGACGAGTGGTAAGACTGGGCGGGTTTGTTGCGCGGGTTTGTTGGCGGGTTTGGGGCGACAGGGCGATGATGGGCGTATCCTGCCTAGCTCAGGCAACCAGGCTGCGGAGCTTAGTTGAGGGGGAGGTCACTGGCCTGAGGCAGAAATCTAATCCCTCAGGCATCAAGGCAGCAGTATCTCCATCATATCATCACCACCAAGGCACTACTCATGTTATTGCTTCAAGATTACTACATTCGGTCCTGATTTCAGAAGCTGATCGCTTACGTTAACGTTTCAAGGTTGGGGTTCATAACGATCGTAATATTTTCTATATCGCTAAAACAACAAGACAAAAAGAAATAAACAAACAACAAAAACAGATTTTTTTTTGTGTTTTTCCAATCACTTTTTCAACTTTTTTTTCTGTTTTGAAACCCCAAAATTTTCTTTAGTTTTCAAGTCCTCCACAGCAAATGCATATATACCCAGATGCAATCAATCCTCCCTATGTACTGCCAGCGTGTGCCAAAATCCATCTCCATTCCTCCCATTCGCTATCCTCCTTATCCCCTTACCCTCCGAATCTCTATCGCTCATAGTCCCGGTGGTAGCTGGTCCCGGTATTAGGGTTGTCATATTCCCTATGGACACGGGTGGTGCCGTCATCGCGGCGATCGACATCGCGGTGTCGATATGTGCCGCTGGGGTTTACTCTCTCACGGTGATGTCGCGTCGAGCCATCGGTACGGTAGTCCATGTGCTGGTCGTATGCTCCAGTGCTGGGATCATAGGCGGTCGTGCCGTAGCCGTTGTCGTAGGTGGTGCCGTATGTGCCAGCGGTGGTGCCGTAGCCCCTGGTGCCGTAGCCTGTGGTCCCAGCAGTGGTGCCATAGCCTGTCGTACCGGTCGTGCCGGTCGTGCCAGTGTCCGTGGTGCCATAGCCGGTTGTGCCGCCGTAGCCTGTGTTGTCATAGGTGGTTCCCGTGGTACCGTAACCCGTCGTAGCGCCTGTCGTGTCATAGGTGTTGGTGTTCCCGTAGGTGGTTCCGGCGTTATCGGTGTAGTCGGTCATGATGATTGCGTTGTGTTGTTATCAAGACTTAAAGATAATATAGTTTATTTTTTCTAGCGGATATCGCAAGAGACTCAGCCTGATTGATACGCAGAATCTGATCTGATCCGGAAAAGACCAACCTCTCTCTGGAGCCTCCCTCGGCCTGCCTTATATTATCCCTCGTGGCGGTGGACAGCACAGCAATGATCCCTTTCTGACATCACGGGCGGCGTCAACACCTCAGCGGCAACGAGGCGCGACTGGCCGGAATCGAGCCCAAGGAACGCGTTCGACTCCGATATTCGTTGAAAATGCCTTCATTCCTTTTCGACACGCCTCCTTCCGTGGAAACGGATTTCTTTCCAGACCACCAGGCTGGTTCTGGACGCTGATGATGTATCTCGGAGTGGGCCAGAGCCTCCTTACCAAGAGCCACCACCAGAGATGTGATGAAATACCCTATTTGGGTAGACTTGCGAGTCACGTCTTCTGGAAAGACTTAGAACGAGGGTGTCAAAAGGTGGCACATTGCGGTAAATATCAGCCGCACAATTGTGCCGCATTTGCATCATGCTCGAATGTCATGTCGTTCTGTGATATTCTGTCAGTCAACAAGTTTCTGTCTCGTTCTCGAGTTGTGCGGGCGGGAATTGCGATTGCCATGTGGATACGCCACAGACAGCTCTATGTATCAATCTTGAGGAATACACCTGCACTTTGGTTAGCCAATGTCTTAGCGAGTTTGGATGTAGACTCACATTCTTCATCTACCCCCTTCGCGGACAACATCGCCTTCGATACGTCCAATCCAACGAAAGAATCTGCAGAATAAACGTGGTTGTATTCTTCTATCCACAAGCATCAAAATATAGGGTGCATTTATACACAAGCAAACGACGCGCTTTGCGTATGTTCGACCAAGAGATGGTCTAGACGTCTACCAACTCCCACATCATTCTAACGCAAAAGAAGCAATAGAAAAATCAAAACTCTAGCTTTAGACCTTCCTCTGTCGTTCCTTCTCTGCCTGAGTCTCCAACTCCTCCTGCTTCTTGCGCTCCATCTCGCGCTGCAGTTGATCGGGCCGGCGGATAGCGATGTCCTTGGGCCGGAAGTCACTGAACAGGTTCTTCAACACGTTTTCAATGATCCAGCAACCGGCGTAGTCGAAAACCATCAACACAGTCAGTGTAACCTTGAACTCGGTGCTGAACGGAACAAGGCGCATCTTCTCATTCAATTCCGGAATGAACTCGGTGGCACAGGAGAAGGCAACGCCAGATGCAGCAACCAAGCCCCAGTACATCGCCTTGTTCTCGCGGATCGACTCTCTGAAGGGTCTGCCTTGGTAGTTGATAGAGAAAGTGGAGATCTGCTGGATGAGCTGGAGGAGGTAGATGGCACTGTTGAGAAGCGATGGCTCGAATTCACCCTCCAGATCAATGTCGGATTTTCTCCTGGTCAATTGTGAGCAACTTGAACTGACCATTATCGGTGCAGGGTACTTACGGTTCAATGGAATAGACATAGTTCGACAGGTAGATCAGAGTAGCGATATGGATGGCGAACTGGCCGAGAACGGAGCCGATGATGTACACGTTGAAAATGTTCGGCTGGGGTCGCTCTTTGGACAGACCCTCCACGGACTGAAACGGGAGTTAGCATAGAGTAATATTATGCAGCACGATGTAAACCTACCTTGGCTCGGGAAATCGAAAGGAAGCAAACACTCATGAGCATGCCACTGATGGTGACCTGACCGTCACCAAACTTGATACCGTCAAGGTAGATGACACTCAAACTGTAGGCGCTGATCAGGCAGTTCAGGGCAAGGATCTTGTACATCTGAATAGTCGCCACCAGGGTACAACGACCTTGACGCAGGATGTTGGGTATCGCGATAACATTAGCCAGCTTGCTGGTGAACGGCGCAGCGACCGACGCGTCTCCCAGCTTGATTGTAGGGGGCTCGCTGTCGTCCAATTCCTGCTCCAACATGGAAGACGTGAGCTTGTCAGCGAAGCCGGCAGCTGCAATGGAAGCTTGCTGCTGTCGCTGTTGCTGAGGAGTCAGGTTGGCATTGGATCGCTGCAGAGCTTGCGCGCCAGGCGAGGTGATAGTGGAGATATGCTCTTCCGTGTTTCCAGCCGTGGCCAGTGTGGCCAACGTGGCGGCACCCTTGCGTTGAGCCTCCCTTTCCATAGCCTTCTGATAGTGCGGATTGCGCGGTCCCGGGGGTAAAGATGCGCAATCTGAAGAGGAACAGGCGGGGCTGGCTGATTGAAACGTTGCATCATGGATACCTGCTTCTCATAGATTTCCTTCATCTTCGTCGTGCGGTAGTGTTCCGCGATCTTCGCAAGGTCCTCCGGAGATCCGTTCAGCAGCGCAACACCGACGTGGGCCTGTTTCAAAGCTCCGACATCGTTGGTTCCGTCACCGCACATCAGAGTGGTGTAACCGGCATCCTTGAGTCCGACGAGAATATCTTCCTTCTGCTTGGGGGACACGCGAGCGTAAACCCAGGTGTGACGCAAAAGGGTCGAGAAAGCCTTCTGACCCTTGAATTTAGCCAAAGCATAACCGGTGATACAGATGTCCTTTGTTTCGATAATCTCAGGGTCCAAGTCCTGAGTTGGATCGACGTCGCGGTTGAACTTGTCATCGATGGATCTCCACACTAGTCTTGTACCGGACATGTCATTCTCAGGAGCGTCGAGGATAAGGACGTCACGGTCCACAATCTCAACTTGGCGCGCGACGTGAACAGCTGTCAAGGGGTTGTCGCCGGTGATCATGACCACACGATGGCTGCTCTCATTCAGCATACGCACCGACTTGATAGCATCTTCCTTCAAAGGACATTGAAGGACAAGGAAGCCGGCAAAAATAAGGTCAGCTTCGATTTCTTCACGAACGTAACCGTTAACGCGTCCCTGAGACAACTCGGATTCGGCAGAGAGATACTTGTATGCGAGGGCAAGAACTCGAGCACCATTCCGAGTGAAGTACTTGAAGGTCTCTTCATAGTGCGGAGGCGTGTTGACCAACATAGTTCTGATAGTTTCAGGAGCACCCTTGACACCCACAAAGGTTGCCTTGGTCTTCTTAGACGTCTTACGATCGGTCGTCACCACTGTAGCAATTGTGCTTTGACGCTTGAGGGCAGAAGAGAACTGGAACCGTCTCTTAATCTGCACAGATTCAACTGCGCGGGGGCCTGCGGGCTGAGCAGCCCTGCTCATGAGAGTGTCGTTCCGGCCCAGAGTCCAGCCGAGCCACTGCAACGTCGCCTTCTCCATGGGATCACCAACGACTTCGCCTTCATCCAATTTCACCAGAGCATGGGCGCTCGCAAGCACAAGGGTCGTGTCGAATGGGATTTTAGCAGACTTGGCAAGTTCCGTGTGAGCGCCGTCCTTTCCAACATTGGCACCTTCATGGCCCAAGGTAAGACCAGCAATACCGTCGACGACCAGATCCTCGCCGGTCAATGTGCCAGTCTTATCAAAACAAGCGATATCGACACGACCAGCGAAGGGAATACGGAAAGGCTCAGTGCAGAAAATGGCAAACTTGCTCAGTGCAGCCAGACTCGTGTTGACCGCAAGACTGAGTTCCATAGGCAGTTCGGGAGGAACGACGCTAGTGACGATAAGGACGCAATCAAGGAGTAACTTCGATCTCTTGCGATCCTTCGCTACACCTTCTTGCCACACATACCATGCCGCAGCGATGGCGAAAATGAGGAGGAAAAGAATGAACAGCAGGGCTTCGACGTTGTTGGCGGAGACGCGCTCGGTGGAATAAATCATGGTACGAACAAGGCTTCCCTGGCTGGTCTCGAACCCCGTCTTCACGACCACACCAACAGCGCCATTGTCTGGAGGAAGGGGAACCCCGGACGAAAGTCTCCGCGCATTCTCCGACCCATCTTCTCCGTTCGAGTTGTGATGGGTGATTTGCAATACCTTGGTACCTCCGTGAACAAAGGCGTTCTTGTCCAAACCATCAGGCTCGATCAAGTCATCTCCGGGTCTAAGCTGGATGGACTCCTTCAGGAGCGGCGTGCTCTCACCCGACAACATGGCCTCGTTGACAATAACACTACCTTCGATCAAGAGAATGTCACAAGCAACGCCGCTATCTTCCTTGGTGCGATTAACGGACATCAGATCTCCAGGCAGAAGCTTGTCACTGGTCAATTCTTGCCACTTCCTCTGGCGGTACACCCAGACATCGTAGGGCTTGATGTTCATGCCGCGGAACTCGTTGAGGGTTCTCTGACGTTGCCACACAACGGTGCTCTCGAACACAACCAGCATGAAGAGGGTGAACAAAGAATAGTACCAGTATTCGTCCAGCATCCACAAGCCAACGCAGAAGACCTGGAAAACAAAGAAGGGTGCCACCGCGTGCTCCTTGAATAGCTCCACGAATGTCGGAACAGGAATATCGAACGTGTTATCTCCGTAGTGATGCTGAATGCGATCGATCTCCTCCTTGGAGGTCAAGCCCTGGGTTTGCTGAAAGACCTTGACCGGGGCTTGGGCTCCGCGTCGAGGACGTACGACAAGGGCCCGAAACATTGACGCTCCGGGTAGTAGAGAAAGCGACGCTTCTGGAAGAGGAACGAGAATGTCTTCTTTCCACCCATTGTGTCGCAATGAAGAGGGCAAATCTCGGCAGAGCCAGCGTTGGCGACCGGGATCACTTTAATAAGCTGCGCAGAGTCGAGAGATCGGGCCTTGGTCGCGGTGAACAGGGTTTGGATGTTGATATTCCATTTTGTCATCAACCAAAGGAGAGACTGCGCCGTGATGATCGATCCAGACCAGACGAATGTCCATTCTTGTCCTTGAATGTATGTATCGTAGCGCTCAGGGGAGAGGTACACGGCGAAGAAGGCAGGCCAGATGATCAGGAAAGGCCACACATAGGTATGAAGTTGAGTAGGGAGAGGGTTATGCAGTGACGCATATTTGATTTGGGGATCGTCCACGAGTTTAGCCCTAAGCATTGGTCAGTAAAATGGTCATTGCACGCGACAGATTGATGATGTGGGACTAACATGGTGACACTCGAATGACCACGACGGTCAAACGACGCAGAATTATGATTAAGTTCCTCGTTTAGTAAATCATAGGACTAGGCCCCAGGAGAGATAACCTGGCAGTGCCTCAAAAAAAACACCGATTATGTCCAAGAACGAGAGATAGGAAACTATCGCGAAGAAGCCACCTTTGGATTCCCTTTTTGAGGTTGCGCTGCTTGAGCCTGAAATAAGTTGGTTTCTTTCTTGCCACCGATTGGCCGACGCCACGTGCCGGGGCTTTCGGACAAAGGTATTTCCGGATGTTTGAATGTATCAATTTATTGACCAATCGTCATGCAGTTATGCTTTCTCTTCCATGGCTTCAGGGATGAACTGTGCCTGGAACCAAGCAGAAGGGCATGGACTTTGTTTGTGCAAATTATCCGACGCGCCCAGCGCAACATTAGGCTTGTGCAACACTATAACTTGCCCTGATAGCCTACTGCACACTGACTGGTGGCGTAGTGGAGATTTTCCATAACAGTCAATGCTAACATTTACAAAGGCATTTGCCTCCCTCCCTACAAACTAGCGAATGATGTCGCCGTTGGAACAAAAAGAAAATCCATGGACTGGTCTTTATAGCAGGATAAGGAACCTGTCTATGCATCATACTTCATCTGAACTCACAAGGAAAGACTTGTGTACATTCACACCATGCAAAGGCTCCTGCTTGGGATTCAAGTCCTCCTGGCTGCTACTCTTGCTTCCGTGGGGAGAAGTCTGAATAGTCGTGACGACGGCCCGTGATTCATGGGGATATACGTCAGGTCGCCAGTACTGCGTCGCGTCTCGGTCATGCTTCGATTGGTGTGTCCCATTGCCGTTCCCGTTCATGCTCGAGAGGGGCACGCTGCCGAATGTCTTCTTCGTAGTTCCGCTCCTTCCGTAACTGGTGCCACGGAACCAACGGAAGAGTGGACGGAGAGTCACGAGACTACCGGCCATTATACCCAGCGATGCCTCGACGTTAGACCAGATACTGATGTCCGTCGTTGCGTCTGTGTGAAGTCGGTTGATGTTAGCGCGCGATAGAATCATTCGCCGGGGAGACTTACAAAGGAACTCGTAGTCTTTGTATAAGTGAAGGTAGGGAATGCGAACGATGACGGCAGCGCTGGCTCTGAGCAGGAGTTAGAAACAATCTCGAGGCAAACGAGACGCGACTTGGAGACAAAACGTACATGCATCCCAAACTCAAAATAGCAGCCAATGCAATCTTTGTCTTCCGCGTCATTTGGAGCTTCCAGACCAGCGAGATGGGCAAAAGACCAAGAACTAAGTCGCACAGTGTCGCAGTTACACTGTAAAGGTAGGCGACATTGATGATAGTGTCCGTACTGAGGCAGGTTCCTTTCGCTCCAGGTGATTTTCGGTTCCAGAAATACGATACCGGTTTGCATTGCAAAGTCAGGACGAACCAGAACACCAGACCAACGACGATGGTCACTCCAATGACAGTCCACAGAAGGATTTTATGCGTTTTTGTCACGGTGAGGCGGAGGAGGGCTACCGCGATCGAGATTTTGGCGACCACGCACGTTACTACGTAGCTTGTCTGACCGAGCCACCACCACTATGAACAGACGAGCGTAAGCATGATAAACCCAGTGGTGCACAGGACAGAGTCCAGGTGGTTTGAATGACATACAAATAGTGCTGTCGAGAACTGTTCCACATGCGCCAATTTCCGGCCCATTCCATATAGAGAGCCTGTTATACCGCATAAGGCGAACAAGATGTTCAAGGCCTGCGAGGGAATGAGTCCGAAGTTCTCGCAGAGCATGGAGACATGCATACCATCGCGACCACCATGATAGTGTCATCCCACCCAAAGGCCTTGACCAACTTCAACCGGACAAAGCATCGTAAGCATACAGCGATGAAAGACAGACCCAAAAAGACAACAGTGACGATAAAGATCGACGCGCTGCGATCTGGAAAATGCAGCATGATGACAGGCAGTTGACAAGTCGCCTATGGGTAATTCCTCATGACTGTACACCTGATCGCATGATCTCAATGACGGGGCGACGCTATGAGCATGAGGGTCCAACTTGCAAGTTGGAGTCAGTCTTGAAGTCCCAAAAGCTCTCAATATTTAAATGTGGATCATGGTCGTTCTTAAGGGAAAAAAGACCCAAGTTACTAGTTACTAACATCGTTACAGCAAACAACCTACACATAATAATAATAGCCGCATGGCACAAGGCAAAGTCAACCCTGGCACTCAAAAGTTTAGCTCAAAAGTTTAGCTGTCAGTGGCGATTAGCATTTGCCATTAACTTTGGCCACGACTTGCGAATTGCCAAATGGAGCCCACCATGGTTGACTATGTTTAAGAGCAGTGGATATTCATTTTAAAGATCGGTGACATTCAGTGCTCAATACGGAGTAGTAGTCATGCACCTGCTAATAATGGCTACATATACAGTAATGCACGCCGGAAAAGGGGGAAACCATTGTTGGGATTGGACGAAAAGCAGAGCAAGACATTGCAAAACTGGTACACCAAGGTCATAAACTTTTTTTTCTTTTTCACATGGCAGAATCCTCCTGGCTTGGGGTAACTATCGCTGTCGTCAGGACCAAAGTTAACTAGAGCCTAGGTTGCAACGCACTACCTAGGTTTAGAGCGCTGCCAAGGATTGTAAGCGAGATCGAGCCTAGAACGAACTTGCCAGGAACAGCATAGATACGCACTCTGCTCTCTCTGCAGGCTGAAGCTGGGGGTTGTAGATGTGGAGCTTGTCCCGTAAGTAGTCTCAGCCAGAGCATCCACACGCGCAGGAGTAGCAGTTGGAAAAAAGATATTGCCAATCTGCGATGGTTGAAGCTAATTAGCAACGCATTATCTATCCTCTACGAGTAAGGTGGCGAAGCCGAAACTGGTATCTACATAATGCAGAACGACGGGTGGGCGGCAGAGGTAACATAAGCCATTATTGTAGCCACCACCATTATTTGTCAAGCCTGACACTCTGGCATACGACCTGGGCTAGAAGAGGAAAGTGGACACTCGCCGCCGGGTATCTGGATTGTGGAGATTTTTGTCAATTCTCAAGAAACGGGCACAGGCACGCGCAGACAACCTGCACACCAGCCAGTTCATGCCTTGGGAGTTGCGTGGAAATCCACTGGATGGAAGTCCGTAGCGACGGAGACCGCCGGGAAGTACTGAAAGTCAACCATGATTATTCTTAACAGTTTGGAGTTGACAGGTGACCGGATGTCGATTTGACAGTTGATTTTCACTCTACCATCCCTAGCTGCCCTGCTTTTATTATATAGCAACATCGACAGAAGTCCGGTCAACATCTATCCTGGCTCACTTACCCATGGAATCGAGTTTCAAGCAAACCTAAGCAAAAATGGCACGCATTGGCCGACGAGGATCTTTGCCATCATGGGCAAAAGAAGGACATTTTTTAGTTTGGTTGCAACCTCTCATGCGCCTAGCTCGTGGCGTCGCGCTAACGATAGCTCACTAGTGGTACATGACAATAGTCATTATTAATAGTATTTGCTCTCTTCTCCGTGCGTAAGTGTCGAAGCATCGAATCTTTTCGACAAGGAATGCTACCATGGCATTGGGTTGAACCTACATTAGCCGACTTGAGAATGGTTGTAGTCAATCTAATATAGTTGAGTGGCGCGTCAAGTCTGGAGAAGCAGAAAGTCTTGCGTGTACGGAGTAGAGTTCGGCTAAACCCAGGCTTGTCTTCACCAAGGAGTGAACTGCCGAACAAGATTCAGAATCGGGAACCGATCTTCCAGACAATCGATATCCGGCATTTGGTCAGTTTCACTTGGCGATGGACAATTGCAACATTTGGATCGTCCTCATGCAGCCGAAATTAACTCATAAATGGTTACGATCTCCGAGACTTGCTCTCTCCAGTATTGTACAGAAAAGCTCTCCCCGACGCTTATCACAAGGGTACCCCTGAATCTCTGGACAAATCAAATCAGCAATGCTGTGTTCACAGATCGTACGAGGCTGACAGGTATTATGTTCAGTCCAGATCCATGACTCTGAACTCAAGATGTCCTGGAGGTGACACGGCTTGTTTCAAAACACGTTGGTTAGCGCCTACATATTGTTGATCAGCTAGTACCGAAGGGAGAACAATCAACATTCGAAATCCACACAGTATCTTACGGTTCTGACTCAATTAGCGCGCTTACCACGGGACAAGCATATTGCTCCTTCACCCTAAATGCGTTCTCTGCAAGCCTGAAACGAGCCAAGTCATGATCCTGTAGCTTGGTAACAGCAGGCCAGATCCAATAAACCCACGTGGGTTTATCCTGGTTAGTCGATAAGCTACTTCCAACGGATGGCTTTGAAGCTTAGGTACTTATCAACTTACTCGCTGCCGGCCGAGAACATTTACCGGGCATTCGGTCGTTGAGTCAATGAAAGGCTTGATTCGTTTGAAGCAACTGAGACTTTCTGAATAGGGCTATCCTATCTCGTGTCACGTCGATTGTCAGCTCGCTTAACGGACGTCAGAATCCTAACCAAAGTGGATCCTCGTCAGAAAGGGGAAGTCATGTCCTTTTGTCTCTGCCCGGACTGGTCCATCTTCTGCAGTCTGATTATGACATCGTCTCCTTGTCAGGCATTTAAAGGGGTCGAGGCATGCGTCCTGCCTTTTTCAACATCCGTGTGGAGTGTTCACGTTGGACTTTAGCTACCACGCTCGGTAGCGCGACTCAAATGCCGGAATATTTACAGGATAGAATCATAGTAGACCGCATCATTGTTGTCAGGGATGATTCTCATGCTATAGACTTTGCCAACGGCGATTGATGATCTGGCGCAATTCTGACTTACTCCCGTCTGAGACTGAGTCATGGTCCATTTGTATAGATTGTCGCTATCAAGTATCTTGATAGCACGGGTGACATCGTATAATTCTGCTTGACTCGTAAGAGTTATCCTGAAATAGCAACTTATCGATGTTTCACCAGTCTTGGATTGTCTTGATTTCTATCTACTCTAGGATTAGCTGAGTTCAAGTTCCCAGTTCTCAGCACTAATCAGCCAAGGTACTTATCTTCCGCTTGCACAGGCTGGAAGTGATAGGCCGAAGTATGATGGTGAAGTCGGTGGGGTGGATTCATAGCTTCCAATTCTTCTCTTGTCACTTAGGTGGTTTTATCGAATAGAGTTCACTTATAATACAAATGCTAGAGCCTCTTCACATCCAACACCAACCGCATCTCTTATGGTCAATACAGAGAGGCTCGACCATCTTGCTACTGCGTGTCTTGAAATGCCAAAGTTTGGTTGCTTTCAAAGCAAATGGCTGCCTGGCCTGCTATATCCTATTAAGCTTGTTCACAGCTTATCATCTCGCAGATGCTATATATGTACACACTGACAATCCTAAACGCTTGGTAGCACATACAGTGAAAGCGGTTCGGTGGCAGAAGCCTAAAGCTTCTATGCTGTACTCCTGCAGCATGATGATTACCACTTCGCCTCCTTGCTACTCATGAACGCGTTCAAAGTCGCGACGATGTTCTCCAAAGCCTCAACCTCCCGCTTCAAAGCAGCATTGACCTTGTCGGAGTCGCTACCGAGCTTCTCGTAGAAATCCTTTCTGTAGGGTGTTGCCGACATCGCGGCAGAGAAGATGGGCTTGACAACGAACGAGTGGTGGGGCTTGAGAGTGTTGCCGTAGGCTTCGCGGAAGGAAACCGACAGTTCGGTCTCCTTATCGAGGTTGTGACGGAGGGCTTGAACGGTGAAATCAAGGCCACTGTCGAGAACATAAAATGTTAGTATCATTATCATCTCACCAAACATACACTTGACTTATTTCATGTCCACCTGCTTGTGGATGCTGAGAACGTACCGGACAAGCCACAACAATCCCTCAGTGGCGACGTGCTTTCCAGTCTTCAATTCGTTCACGACAAGTGCCTGGAGAGTCTCAGACTCAGCAGGGGCAGCCAGCTGCCTGTCTCTAACTTTCTATACCGCCGTTAGTCTTGCTACAGTGGACACGTAAAATGAATGATACCTTAATATTTCCGAGGAGGTCGTTCTTGACGGGGGCAAAGCACTTGCTACCAAGGAGATCTAAAGCAGTCATTGAGTCAGAACCAGCCTTCAAAGCAGCTCATAGAAATCCGTTAGACACATACCGAACAGGGTCACCAAGGACTCAGCGGCCTCGAGGAACTCAGTGGTCGAAATGCCATTGTCATTAACAGGGACATCGGCGAAAGACCTCTTGAGAGTATCGAACCAAGTACCACCAGGGGGGATAGCGGCAGCCATTATGAAGAATGTATCTGAACTCAAAAATGTACAATTAAAACTGGAGAGAAGATAGAAATGGATAATGATGATGGAAAATGAGGGGAAGAGACAGCTATCAACAACAGCTGAGCTGTCACTCACCGCCAGTAGCAGTACACGCAAGCCACAACAAGCGGGGCGGGGCGACCCCTGAGCATAACAGCAAACAGTGTAAACATGACAAACTAAACAAATGGAGCAAACGGTGTAGTTTCACGTGATGCATGACATCATGGCCCTTGACATCAACGATCGTCTGGTGCCTGAGCAAGCTGTTTGCCTGCTGTTTCAGATTGTCCTCCTCTCCTGAATATCAATCCCTTGAAGATAGGCATCTCGATTACGCACAGTAGACTAATCCACCAATGGTTTCCACGCAATTTTTCTTCTGCTAAATACGGGGGTTGTGGTGAAGTCCGATGAGTACTCAGAGCCCTGCTGATCAGAATGTCAGCACTGGAAGGATGGAGACAGCCCAAAGCGTGTTCCACGAACACCAGCATGGGCTTGAGCCAGGGTCTTTCACGGATGAAAGATTAGTAAGTATCTTGCCAATAAGGTCACTAGGAAGATGCAACTTGTAAGGAAGAGATACCCCGGAGCTGACTGACGGCTTCAAGCGATATGCCTCCGGCTATCACTTGCACATGACAAATAGGAGATTTTTCATCGGACCAATTCCCGAAGGCTGGCTGCAGCACCACCGCAAGCACTGGTACAAGACCAGACTCAAGTTTCGGAACTATACCTCGAGAGCTGTTACGTTCACCGCAGACACAACCACTCCTACCGCAGATCAGTCGGAACCAGAAACTGCCTCATCGTCTGCTCGAAAGCAGGATACCTCACTGGCTGATACTACGATTCAGCTGGATCTTGAAGACAGATCAGAAGAAGAAGGCGATGATCGCGAGACGGATGAGCAGTCTGATGGCCTCCAGTCCATACCATATCCTTTGACAGAGGCCGAAGCTCCCCCGGGGGATAACTGTCCTAGATTCGTCTCAGGGACAGGGCGAATCACAGCTGAACCATGAATCAACTCGGAAGAAAAAAGGAGCGATGACAGCTTATTATACAGCTAGAGAAAGCAATCCAGGAACAGCTGAGCAAGATGACCGCACCGCTGAAGCAGAAAGCAGGCGGACGTTGAGTATCCCTAGCGAAGATGATGCCAGTCAGTCAGCTCCCATGGCACCCGTTAGCGAATCTGGCTCTACGACGGCATTGCTAAGGCCTAGTTTGCGTTCTAAAGGGAAAGGTAAACTCAACGCCTTGTCTTCTGCCAGCCTTGAGCGACAGGAGCCGCAGAGTGAACGAGAAGACGATGTGATCGATCCTCGACTGAATAGATATTCCACAACTTCACTCGGCGGAAAAGTGAAAAGCTACCAATTGGATGACAAGCTCGTGAACAGACAGCAGCGGCTAATGTCCCGGATAGCCTACACCTATGATGTGCTCTCAGGAAATCGTCGACAACGGCGCAAGCTGCGTGAGGGCGAGATTATCCGAGCGGAGAGGATGCTTGTTCGCGTGGAGGTGACTGTGCAGAAGGAGCTCCCGAATGACTACACTGAAAATGATAGCCTGAGGTTGGAAACGAAGGTTGCAGAAAGTTGGAGGGAGTTTCTTGTCGTCTGTCGGCTAACATCCGATGCGGAGTCACCTGTTGCGCTTCAGATGTATAAGACGCGCGTCGTTCCGGAGATACAAAAGTCGAATTCCAGGGTCAAACCCTACCACGAAATCGCTTTGAATCGCAAGAATACCAAGGTAAACCTCTACTCTTGCTTGGATAAGACCATTGTGATTTGGAGACCCTGCAAGCGTGGAACGAAGATATACATAATTCGGCCCAAATCCGCAGTGCACGCCACTGAGTGGTTCACGTTTATATACCAAGTGTTGGGGCGGCACCGTCCGAATTCATTGTCCATTAATGTTCCTGATTTGGGCGTTTCTCTTGTCTTTCAAAATCCGTTTGAGCAGTTGGAATCCAAGTGGGGAACTCAGAAGGGGGACAATAGCGATGATAGACCCGGTCAATCGAAAGATCGCGTAACCGATGTTGCTGCGGCTATCATTCGGGGTTGTATGGACCTGCTGGAAAACCGCACCGAATGGGCAGAAGTGCTACGCGAGTGGTCAAAAACCGAGAAGATGGGCCTGGCCTGGAAGCGCTACGACAGACTGGAGTGGGTGGTTGGCCTGGGCGAAGAGAAGATGTACGGATCTCTTGCAATGCAAACCACCCACCAGCTTCAGCTGCGACCAAGGCAACACTATCAAACATTCGTCAAGAATGGTGATGAGAAACTCGAAGAGCCACAACCCGTGGAGGGCTTCCTGGTCCGTTTGACGTCCCAGAGAGGAGTGCATCAACGGATGAACAGGATGTTTTTTAAACGTCTCTATTTTTTCACACAAGATCATTACCTTTTGTTCTGCAGACCAGCGATAGCCCTACCTCCTACTCCCCGAAGCTTTGCTCGGACGAGGCTGGCATACCCTCAGCGCGGCAGATATTGAACGAGATGCCTCTCTCATATGACGTCGATCCCTTTCCAATCCATAATGGCGAGATCACATGGATGTCTAGCGGGAATGAGGCCCACCTAAAGGAACATGATCAGAACGCCTATGCTCATACCAAGAGGTCCAAGCACAACCTCACACATGCGGATGGTTTCATCGATCTTTGTAGAGTTCGGAAGGTACGTCAAGTGTGGCGTGGCAGCTCCCCTGCCGATCCAAACATTCGCGAAGGTCCCGATGTCGAATTCGACCCTGAGACGCAAGACACCCATCGGGACGATGGTGCAACAAAGCAATTTGACGATGATCGAACTTTTGAAATGGTACTTGACAATGATCTTGTTGTTCGACTGCAAGCATATGACAAGACCACCAGGGACGAATGGATAAAGAGAATGGCCGCGCTGGTCAAATATTGGAAAGCCCGCGTTGCGGCCGACTCGGTCGAGCTCAAGGCGATTCGGCAGCGCAATCTAAATATCTTGGGCATCGATGAAGGAATTGAGTCCGTAGTAGGACAGTTCTCCAAGGAATGGGAAACAAAGAAGTCAGAAGCATCACCCTTGTTGCACAACATATGTGCTCTGTCGGGTTGCCGGACAATAAAGGTACGCCGTGCGAAGCTAGTGCAATTGAATCACATACTGACCATAATGTTGCAGATGTCCGGTCAGCTCTTTCGAAAGCCTCGCCGCCACTCTACCTTCAAGAGGTGCGATGTTGTTTTGGCTGCCGGGAAGCTTCTGATCTTCCATAGCTCATTGCGGAAGCTTACTGGCGTCGAGATTCCTCATGTTCATCAGAGTCTCGAGACCACATTGGATCTGGAAGACTGCTACATCTACTCCGGTCTAATGACCGAGTCCGATCTGCTCTACGCAAACCGGACTTTCGACAGCAACCATCCTGGCCACCATGCCTTACCTCGCATCTATCTTTCATCCGATGTATATACCACCTGCGACGAGGACACAGCTATCACGTTCGTCGTCTGGCAGCCTCTACGAAAAAATTATTTCAGGGCACAGGAGCTCAGTAAGAAAGGGAAAACGAAGCAGAAGCTGAGGCAAGTGTCTACGCTCGGCGTCCCTGGACGGACTGTGGTATTCAAGGCACGGAGCCGAATAGAGAGGGATCGTTGGGTCATGAGTATTTCATCCGAGATAGATCGATTGCAGGAGGAGAAGCCAGAAGACATCCGCTTAATCAAGCCATCGAATAATTGATTCGGTTTTGTCGTTTCCGGCACTGGCAAGACGCCAGAGAAGCTTTTTAAGGCTGCTCTAGCAGGCTGTTTCGTTTGGATCCCTTGGCATATCATTGTTCATGATCACATGTACCTTACACTCTAATATTGATACAAATCACGACACTATATACAGTGCATCTAGAATACATATTTGCAAGGAGCCGAGGCATAGGACCTTACCTATTCTATGTGAGGGCTTTCCAACTTGACAGCCTCCTTCAATACCCGTTGCCGTACATCCTGGCGATAATTCTCCCCAAACCTATGATCCCCATCCCCTTCAACAACCCCCTTCTCCCAATCTCGCCAGTTGAGCCACCTAAACTGCGGCCTCAACACAGCAATGACTCGCCCCGTGATGAGACTAATGCTCACAGGCCCATACGTATTACTATCAAGTGACTTCTTCGGATCCTCCGCATCACCCTCCAACCAGACATGATTGAACGGCACAATCTGCGACGCCTTCATACACGGTTCACGAGTCGTGATCCGATCACCGGGGAGACCGATAACCCGCTTGATGGCGGTATGTTTTGGATTAGCAGGCGACCTAACACCACGCATACCCGTTAGCATATTCATATTCCTTCCATCAATCGCAATCACATAAGCAGAAGTAGAAGTAGAAGTAGAAGTAAAGCAAACCACCCACCGGAACGTAACAATCATCCCCCGTTCCAACCTCCGTTTCCGCTCCCACGGCCACCCCGCCCCGCCAAACGGCCACATGTTCACCAGCACCATATCGCTCTTCGTATGCATGGTTTCGTAGTCCTCGTTCAGGAAGGGCGTCATTGACGGCCCCCGCACCCACATTACCTGGAGGACATGTTCGGAGAAGAAGATCCCGATTGGGACGATGGGTGCTAGTATGCGGAGGACGCGGAAGGTTCGGCGGATGGGTGTTGGGAGGGTCGCGTAGCGGTTGCGGAAGAAGGAGGAGAGAGAGGGTCGGTTGGGACGAGGTGATGATTGCGTTGGTGTTTGCGTTTGTGTTTTGGGGAGTGAGGGCGAGGGATTTGCGGCGGCGCTGGCGGACGCGGAGGCGGAGGTGGAGGATAGTGTGGTCGGCGGCACAGATGGTTTTGATGATCGTATTTTGGCCATGTCTGGTGCGAGGACTCTGAATCTTGAGGTCGTTTTGCCTGTAGGTGGCCCCTCTGGTGTGGGCTTAGGTGAAGGCATGTTTGAGGTTGTTGTGCTTGTGGAGAATGTTACCGGTGCATGTAGCCTCAATTGAAATGATCGGCTGGTTCGAATATGAGGAAAAGAGAGTAAGCTCTAGGCGAACCCAGGTACAAAAGATCTATTTTGATCTAGAAGTAGGATTAAGGGATTCTCGTTTTGTCGGAAATATCTCGACTGTCGCATGCGATTGATAAAGATATCGATAGCGTGACTGGTCTAGAAGCTTGTTTGCAGCGTTTGCACTTTACTTTCTCGAAGAAAGGCTTCAAAGTTTTGATGAATCAATTAACTAGGAATAAGAAACGCCATCCATCCGTGCCAGAAATACATGCAACGCCATCATGTCCAATTCAGATTATCGTAGCTGCATTAAGTCGTATTAAGTAGCCCTGAGCTTCCTTTCTGTCAACCTACCACGTGCAGACTACCAGTCCTTTGCTAGATAGTTTTCCACCGGGTGAGAGGCATCCTCCTCGATGATACCACTGGACTTGACACTCTGTACGTCTGCTGCAGAAGGAGCCCTTTCGATCTCGACAGGTTCGTCATCAAGCCTTTCCGCTTGTCCGCCCTCTGGCTTGTCGACTTCCTCCCAATCATCCTCACTCTTATCGTCAACCTTGGGCTGAACGCCTTCAGTCTTAGCGTCGGCGCTTGGTCTGATGTCGTCCGCATTAAGCTTTTGCTTTTTATTTTCAGGTTGGCCTTCCAGGGCAGGGTCTGCAGTGGGTGGGTCGGGAAGTTTGGCTGCGAGTAGCTCTGGTGTTGGCGAAGATTCAGCGGTCGTCTTTGTCGGGACTTCGGAATGGGTATTATGGCGAGGAAGGTCTTGCTCAACAGGTGGAAAGATCAAGCTATCGACAATCAGTTTCGCGCCAAAAAGGTAAAGAACTCAATCAATGTCACTCACGGGATGGCTTGCTCATAGGCCACTTCATCCTTTCGCTCAAAGTTGCAGAAAATGATCCTTTCCAGCTTCTCGATATTGCCAGGACCCTCCAGAAACTTCCGAACCTCATCCAGAGCCGCAAAGGCAGCCTCGTTGCTCGGATATCCATAGACGCCGGTGCTTATCGCAGCAAAAGCAATGCTCTTCATGTCGTTTTCGACAGCTAGCTCCAAGCTTCGACGGTAGCAGCTCCGCAGCAATATCTCAGGTCTGTCGTCGCCCTTTGGCAATTCAAAATGGTAGATTGGTCCAACGGTATGAATAACTTTCTTGCATGGAAGGTCATATGCAGATGTTATTTTGGCATCGCCAGTCCTGCAGCCCTTCAAGGTCCGACATTCCCTCAGGAGGTCTGGTCCGGCAGCGCGGTGGATAGCTCCGTCCACACCGCCCCCTCCAAGGAGCGATTCATTGGCTGCATTGACAATGCAATCGACGTTCTCCAATTTAGTGATGTCGTTTCGAATGAGTGAGATGATATTATTGAATGAGTTTGACGGCTTGGCAAGTGGTGCAGAGGTTGGGACTAGACGGCCCAGTTTGTACAACAACGAGACAGTTGGGATCTCTGCTAGGGGTACAAGGGGAGGTGACATTGTGTAAGGAGTTTGATGCTTCTGATGGGTTGAAAAGCTATTCAATAAGTGTAGGTAGCTTGAGAGTTGATATGCTGAAAGAAACGCAGTGGACAAGTCGATAGACAACCGAACCCCGGAATCCGAGATGGGATCACCAAAGAAAGACCACCAGACAGCTGTATCGTTTCTCACTTGTAGCGTTGAAGATGACCTTTAGCAATTGTCCTCGGGTGAAGAAATAGAGCTCATGGAGATGCACCAAGCGATTGTTGATGCTATCTAAGTTGCGGAGGTGACAGTTTCCCCGCACGTGATGACACATGATCGGCATGCTTATCGATAAGAGAGCTTTATCTTATCATCTATATCATACCAATCCGTCAACAAGTAGTGTGACCACCATCAACAGCTCAAGAGTATTCATTCATTATTCAAGTCATAGTGTTGCTGCGAGTATCATCATCATTGAAGGGACTGTCCGTATTAAAATCGAAGGCAGCTTCAAAGGACATCATCTCTTCAGGGTTTGGGACTTATGATACGTGCCCGCTGCAGACTTGCGATATGTACCATCGGGGCTTTCGGCTGTTTACCAAAAATGGACACGTTGTACGGACTACAGATACAAGCAACTGGGAAACCATGAAACCAGTAGTTTAGACGGCAACAATCTGATCTGACGTCTCCGCAGCTTGGGTCCGAGATTACACCGTCCAAATCCGTCATAGTGAATTCGATGATCTTTCTTACGGCACGATACGGAGTAACCATCTCCACGATGGTCGTCGGGATTTGCTATCCTTGCCAAAAGGGAAGCAAACACCGGTGCCGTTAGTCCCGGACACTACTTGCCCTCAAGAATGACAACAATAATAATAACAGTAATAATCACGATTATGATCCGTACGAGAAGCCAATATGATTATGTGACAGGGGTCAGATTCCTTTTAAAAGGAACTGGGCCGATTCGCCCAACAAGGAGCTTGCGAGTTGCAACATTCCTCTTGTGGATTAGTCCTAAACAGCTTTGCTTTTCGCTCACTAAGTGGGCTCGTTATGGAGCAGATAATGGAGATGAAAAAGGATAAAGTATCGAAACCCCTGTGGGCGTGTACACGATACCATGATCCTGAGCTGTAAGTTGAGAGTCGCAATGAGAGTTGCCTTGTATGCTGACATCCAGATATACTTCCTCTAAACTATTTGGTTCTTGATGGCTCCATTTCAAGTCACAATCCTCGGGCCCATTTCTTGCAGTGGGTCTAAGACGTGCATTATGCAGTGCGTGGCGTCTACTGGATGGAAGTCATCTTCAAGTCACAGCGGCAGGGTTATGCAAACACGATTGCAGCAATCAGATGCGGGGCTTCAGAGTATTCAGTCATGGCGATACCAGGGTCATTCCGGCGTAGGTCCTTCCTCCTGTGAGCCAGACTGTTCATGCTGCGTGTCCTGGTCTAGTACCTTCTACCTGCTTGTTGTAGACCCAGATTGCTCGTCGGAATATCATGCTTGAATATTCGACATATATTAGAAGCCGCTCTTGAGCCCTGGAGAGATGCCGTGCTGCTTGCTTGGATATCCATCGTCTGCAACAGATAGCATTCAAAATGACTATTCTGCGAGGTGCTCCCGGACGCTCGGCTCCTTGAGGTTTGACAATACACAAGGCCTTGTGAGAAATGTTCTGAGCCTTGTGCAGCTCTACCAGCGCACAGTTCCGATGCAGTTGTTCGGATCTCCTCATCTCCCTGTCTTTTCTAGTACAAAGCTTTAATTCGTCCCATCTTTTCGATCACTAGAATGCTACTACACGGTGACGCCTCTCATTCCTAGAGCAGAATAGGAGCGGCCTATGTATCTGACTGCCTTTGTTCTTCAGATTCGATGGACTTTTCTGTCCGCAAACCACAAGTCTTCTTGCGATTGGTAGTCTTGATATACAATCCAGACTCCATCTTGTGAGGGCTTCTCTCTAGGTGTGAGCCCGTCTATGAGACGAAGCTTTCACCCGTTGGGAAGTGCTATGAACAACGATATAAACTTATCAGAGTCATAGTACGATACGCCATCTCTCCCTTCCGTCTTGTAGTATTTGTCTGTCATGCTGTGTTGTGGGGATAATTGAGACAGGTGCGCAACGGATGGACCTGAGTTGGGATGCGCACCAAGGCCTGGAGATCCTTACGAGCCCAGCAGTGAGGATTGCAGTGCCTATACTCTGTACAGAGCATGATAGAATATTTTGGTTCTTGTACATTTCTACCCTGATATCGAGATTGACCTTGCCCACCGCACGCAGTTTCTACTCGCGAAAATATCCTTGGGAGGCCAGATACACGCAATTGAATTATGCACTACCTTTTCTGCTGCAGTATCTAAGCAGCATCTCGCGTTAGTGGACACGGTAAATAGGGGAAATTGTATCCAAATAGAAGGTTACTCAAGATGGTCGAGACACGAATTGGGCAATATATTTTTCCAATCACCACGACCGTGTCGGGACTAGATCAGTTTGACCTGATATCTACAAGGATTCAGTGCAAAGGATAGCCTGACGTCAGTCCTCGAAATCCTAATTACGATCTTTGTACTCGTTGAAATTCCTCTATCTCTTTTGACCATATCTCTGGAGCTTCGAATTTCGCGAGGCGGTGGTGCTCAATTTCGAGATATATTAAAATAAAGCACGAAGAAAGCCCCACCAGTGGCTTCCTCCCATTCCCTGTAAATTGCTACTCCACTCCGTGCCGCCTGAATCTTCGATTATTCCGTAGATAGGGGGATCGGAAATAGCAAGTTCTATCAATTTGAAAGATGCGTGGAATACTCTGTAAATAATACCAAGGGACCCGTCTTCGGGGATTAAAATTGAATTCTACCCCACCGCAGGACTCTGGTACCGTCGAAGTGTCAAAGTAATTGGGTACCGGGTCAACCAGCCGTTTTGTTAAGGTAGTCAGGATTCGAGAAGGAATTAACAGGAACTATCTAGTACATAGAAGAGCTTTGATCGCAATCGCGCTTAGAATTCGTGGCTGTGGCTCGGTGGGTAAACTATTATTGTTCGGCGGTCATGGGTTAACGCGAGATGATCTTATTGATTTGATTATTGCCCGTGGCGCCACGATCCTGTCAAATTGTCACAATATTTATAGTAAAGTGTGTGGGGGTTGAGAGCAACAGAAGCAGACGAATCCCGTGAGAAGAGAATCATTACTCTTGATGCAATCTTTGGTTAACAAGGTACCGTTCGGGGACCTCGTCTGTTGGATTGTCCACGTTGTGTCGGCCGCTAATTTCCACGGGTCCTCGATCCATGGTACTTTGTAATATTGTATTGATTTGGGATGATGGCTCTGGGCCAGACTTTCCTGCATTCAAAATTCAAAGTCGTTCCGCTACTGCGTTAGAAAGCTGACTTTTCCCAGTTGAAATGTCTAGAGAAATAGAAAAATTTATGACACAATGCCCATCAAGATTCTACTCCGCCACATCGCTGTACTATCGGGGAACATCCGAAAGGAAGGAAGCAGGCCTGAGACCATGCCATCCTCAGATGTGCAGACTGCAGAGGACAGAATAGATACGGTACGAAAATTAAGATTGCAACATCCCTGCTGGCAAAAGTGGAGACGGAAAATCTTCACCCGCACAGTAGAAAAGAAAAGCCGTTGAATGGCTGGGATGCACCCCCCGGCGCATCTCCATCGGCCCAGGCAGTCTGTGCAACGATGATGGCGCAGGGAGGCTGGTCTCCTGCAGGTACTGGTAGCCTGGTTAGTTCGTCTAGGTATGGAGCACAGCAGGACTCCGTAAGACCAAGGAGTAAGGACACCATATTATTGATTTTCTCGGCTCCGAAGCGTTAAACTCGGTTATTCGTTGCTGGTACTAATTGGGACAGGTGCAGCTGTCCTGTATGAAAGAGGCAATAGCCAAGGGCGCTACTCTGATATGGGAAGTGACACATAGATCATCCCGACGTGGACGGTAGAGATCCAATAACCCAGCTCCTGGATTTTTGGTAAGCTGCATATCAAGCTACCTTACATCGAAACTTGTAAACGAATGACGATTGGCCAGATACAACTCGGAAGTGGTAGCAGATGTGACAACTTTTAGTGATCCCTCGAGCCCTCCATACAATCAACGTACAGTAAGATCCATCATTAAGTCAACTTCAAGTTTGACGATGTCATCTATCTACTTGGTACCCTTCTGGACATCGTCTGCTGTAACTTGGTGTCACTGACGTCGCAATCCAGGTCTGCAATCAAGAATCAAAGTAAAGCGTCTGAAAGGAAATACCATGTCTGAAAGACTCACTGGCATCCATGGTTACTAACGATCAACCGTCAACCACTTCCTGGAAGAGACGATCAAGACAAGGCTCCTCTGCCCTCTTCTAGAAAGAACTGGGGCTATTCCTAGCCTATCTACTAGTGCTAGGCGTTCAACATTCGACGTTAGATTTGGTAGATACGTACCCACCAGACCGAGCAGATTTTTCTCCCCTCTAATTATATTAAAAGGCTCCATCCCAAACATATAACTCGCCTTATTATAGCCGCTTTAGGCTCGATCGATGAGCACCCTGCCAGACTATTAATTCGTGGCAACACTACGTAATTAACCCTCCATTCGAAATAAGTAGCGGTGTGTATAAGGAATGAACGGATTCTGACGCGAAATCCGCCACAGCTACCTAGCTCTAATATACTTTGACAGGCAACGATGTATCTGATCCAACTCCTACCCTAGAATTAGTCACACCCCAGGCGCAGCAAAAGCGAGTTTGGAATCAAAAACTGCACAGGTCATTTCTGGCTTATTACTCTAGTTGTACAGACGTAGAAATCCTGATAATAATGATGTGCTTGATGCATATGTGATGCCAACATTAATCTGCGACAGTACCAAAACCACGCGCGGGTGGATCAGGAGCCACAATGCGGAATAGATGCTGTGGGGACAAGGTTCAACGGCCTGATCAAGGAGTCCGTCACACTCAGTCCTCATTCCTCAGCTACTAGTCTCGATAGTCCACTCCCTACTCGACGCAGTATGGCGCCATGCATTGCATCGCCTATCGACGCCTTGGCTTACTCTACAGTGTACAGTGTGGAAGGGGTGCTTACCTCGGAATCACGAGCAGAGCACAGGAACGAGGTGCACGATTCATGATACGACACTGCTTGTGGGAAAGGGGCTGGAAGTTGGAACTTGTCTTCTTTCGGTTGGCATCACTTGATTTACTAGATATTATTTTCTACTGCTGCTAATAATTAATGAATGGAACTCTTTGTAACCTGCCGATTCTCCAATCGCTGTGGAGTCGACGATGGGGAATAGTGTCAGTCTCTGAGATAAAGCTAAGCGAGATTGATAGATAGATTGATTGATTGTCTCCGAGGGATTCGATGGGCAAGACAGCCCCATGCGACTATCGATTCTAG